GTCCTTCTTGTTGCGAGAGGTGCGGAACTGGACACCGGGCTGGAGTGCAGCCCCATCACTCCATTTCCCCCAGCCACTGACCCCGTCCTTCTTGTTGCGAGAGGTGCGGAACTGGACACCGGGCTGGAGTGCAGCCCCATCACTCCATTTCCCCCAGCCACCGCTGACCCTTTCGCTCTGCCCGCCCTCGCCGCGGCTGCTCCTCGGAGCTCGGAGGCCGAGTTTGGGGACGGTTCGCCGGGGACCGGCCACTGCCAGAGACCTGGGGCGGACAGGTGGCTCCTCCATTGCTTAACTTCGGCTGGGAAAACGCCCTGGAAAGAGTCAGTGTCTCGCAGCGCTTTCACGGCGTCTCCCCGACACGTGGGGGGCGTTTGTGCTGCTGCCCCGGGCAGTGCCCGGTGCTGTGAGGGGGGCTCCGGGACATGCTCGGGGCTGTGAGGGACCCCCCGGCCATGGGCTCCAGGCGGTACCCGGTGCTGTGAGGGGGGCTCCGGGACATGCTCGGGGCTGTGAGGGACCCACGGCCGCGAGGTCCCAGCGGTGCTCTGCGCTGTGATGGGTGCTCCGGGACATGCTCGGGGCTGTGAGGGACCCACGGCCGCGAGGTCCCAGCGGTGCTCTGCGCTGTGATGGGTGCTCCGGGACATGCTCGGGGCTGTGAGGGACCCACGGCCGCGAGGTCCCAGCGGTGCCCGGCGCTGTGAGGGCTCCTCGGGCTCGGTTCGGGGCCGTAACCAGGCGGAGCTCCCGGACATGGGAGGGCTGCGAGCGCAGGGAGGCGGAGGTGCGGCGGGCACACAGGTGGGTGTGGGACGCTGGCCAAGGGCACTTCCCTCCTGCCTTCGGCTGTTGGGGCTAAACGTCAGTGTTACGATAATATTACTGTAATATTGTTTGTGGGGCCTATGCAAAGCAGACTTTGCCAATTTGTAAAAGCTCAGGCTTTCTTGGCAGTAATGCTGAACAGTTCTCAGGTGTCCACGGACAGGCTCACCCTGTTGTGTGACAGAAGGTGCTTTTTATTAAATTCATTTTCCAAATTTGAGTAAAGCATCCCTTAAAATGGATGAATACTTTTCTGAGACTTACAGCCAGTGTGGGTCTCATGTGTAATTAAACCAGTGTGTTTGCAGCCTGTGAGTCAGATTTTCTTCCATTTTTTAAGACTATCTAGGGCAGCAATGTGCTGGAAATTTCTCATCAGGAGGTTCTTTTTCTGCCTCCTTTTTGGGGGTGGTGTTTCAATTTTTTTAGAAAAAGCTCACCTGGTGTGAGGTAGGAAAATAATTTCTCTTCAGGAGGTTCTTTTTCTGCCTCCTTTTTGGGGGTGGTGTTTCGATTTTTTTAGAAAAAAACAGACAATTTCACCTGGTGTGAGGTAGGAAAAAGTGCTTACCAGATGTTGAGTCTTGGGCTCCATCCTGCACTTGTCAATCACTACATGAGGGATGTCAGCTGAATCAAGTGCACAGGACACTTATGTGGTATTTTATCTTAAAGGATTGACTTAAATGTGCATTTAGGACCTAGCTGCTATTCAGGCATTTAATTCTGTATTTAGATGTTTCAATAAAAACTACCTCAATCTGTGCTCTGCTGAAAAGAGCCGTTTGCAATATTTTTATCAAAAAAAAAGCCCTAGAGTTTGTTCGTAAATTTCTTTGTTTGTTGCCTATGAAATTGTCAAGATTCAGGCAAGCTCAGATTTATAAATTCATGAGCATTCTCATAGTCCTACCATAAGATATTTTTCTTCTTTTTTATTAGTATAGTTTCTTCGCTAAGAAATGGGAAGCTACAAAGCTAAAACTTGAGATTAAAATGTAAATTAGATTATTTTAGAAAGCCTAAGTTACTCTCTGCACTGGAACCAGTGCCAAGATAAAACAGAAATTCTGTCTAATTTCAGTGTCAATGTTTCTACTTGACTTTGATGCAAATTTTGTGCTTTAAAGGTTTTCTTTTCAATAGGTGTATGAAATATGTTGAAAAATCTTATTATATAAACAATTAGAAGTCAGAGTGGCGTGGAACATGGGCAATAGTAGTGATTCAAGAAAAGAATTGTAACAATATAGCAATTTTCTGGTAAATTCATCATGTTTTTATGTTCCTGCCCAGCTATTAACTTTCCTGCTTCTATCCATATTACTGATAGTAGACCAAGAGCTAGATGACTGCTTACATGGAGTACGTACTATGCCAGACGAGCTGTAGTCTTAAAAGAAAAATTAGAGTGAGTATCAGACTGAGTAGCTTAGCAGAGTAAAAATGGCGATGACTGCTTACATGGAGTACGTACTATGCCCAGATGAGCTGTAGTCTTAAATGAAAAATTAGAGTGACTATCAGACTGAGTTGCTTAGCAGAGTAAAAATGGAAAACTCAGCAAGTAATTTGCCACAAAGAAATCACTGAAGCAGTTTCAGAATAAAAATATTCTGAAAAATCACTGTGAAGGCAGAAGAAGGCTTTTTCAGGTACTGCTTTGGGTTGGTTCTAGGAAATTTGAGCTGCTGTGTGAAATATGTAGGTTTTTGGTTTTTTGTTTTTAAATTGAGTTTCAAACTTAGACTGACTCTGAGTTTGGCATCTGGCAGGTCAGGGATTTTGATAGAGGGACCCAGATTACATCATGGAGTATTTTATTAACTCTTTAGACTGGAGTCGCTCGCTCTCACCTTCTTTAGTCATTGATGTTTGCAAAGCACACCTGAGAAGTCGCTTTCTCTTTAACATTTGTAAGCATTTCACAAGCAAATGTTACATGATGAAGGAAGTGCAGGAAAGAGGCTGTGTAGCAGCACAAACCTAGCGGGGGAGAGTAGTACCAGTGACTGGGATTGTTACTGAAATTTCTACTTGTGACTCTTGTTTGCAGTGAGCAGTAGCTCAGCCTAGACCCGAGGGCTTGCAGCAGAAGGAAACAAGCATTTGCCTGCCCACACGGCTTCCCTTGGGAGGTGCTGGCACACAGGCACAGCTGAGCTGTGGCCATGGCTCACGGGTGCATGGGCTCAGAGTGCATGGGGAGTGTGGGAAGAGCCCCGGGCTGGGAAGAGGGGTCTGCTGGAAGCCCTGTGTCTGATGTGTTGTACATACCTGACTGGTACCAGAAGGACGGTGGCTCAGTGGTTTTGTGTTATTCACAGACAATTTCACCCATTTGAGGTTTGGGACTTAGTTTGGTGGGATGAGCTGCCTCCCATGAACTTGCTTGCTCCAATGGAAACACTTTCCCTTTACTCCCAAAGCTTTGACTTTCATCCCATGTGCTTTTTGGTTGATTAATCATCAATGAGTGATTGCTAGGGTGGCTTTTACATTTGTTAATTTAGTTTAAACTCACTACATGGGATTGGTCTGAGCATTTGTTCCATTATGATGCCATATACCTATTTTATTCTCCTTGCAGTTTTGTGGGATTTCTAATAGATTAACTTCTCTTTCTCTTGCAAAAAGGCTGAAATGCTGTTTGGGATGGAATCAGTGATGTATCTGTCTCTCCCCCTTACTACAACCTCCCCCTCCCCTCTGCAGGCTGCCCTGCCAGAGCCCCTCCTCTGTCAGGAAGAAGGGAGTTGAAATAGTGAGCTCCTGCTTTGTGAAGGAAATTTTCTTTCAGTGTCTTGCTCAGAGGTGCCTTTGAGAGCAGAACTGATGTGTTTTTGTTAACTTCTGGTCTGAGGAGGTGATTTCAATGGCCACAGGGTTGCTCACCATCGTTTTACTCTGTGCTGTTGTGGCTGGAACTTCAGGTAGTAAGTAGAAGAAATTTTTTCTCTGCTAAGATTGATCTCTCTCAATGCAGAATACTTCTACTAAGAAATGTTCTCACTGGCAAAACCTCAGAGGATTATGTTACGGCTTGTAGGTTTGTAGTAATTCTTGTGGCAGCTTTGTCTGGATTTTTAGTGTAGTGTAGCAGTTTGCTTTACTGAGCTTTTTGAGTTTGTACTGGGCAGGTGGGAGAGCATCCTCCTTGGAGAGGATGCATTAAATAGTGTATCTTCCTTCAGCATTCTGGGGAAAGCAACAGAAATAGTGAGATTGTCAGTCTGTATACTTGATAGAAAAACTCTCATGGATTTATTTGTTTGTTTTGAGGACCCTGCTTTGATTTCAGTAATTTCACTGAAGTTCAGAAGCAACAGGTCTGTGTTGAGCTGCACACAAATTTGCAGCACTTTTTTGTTCTGTTCCTGTCATTTCAGGATCCTCAGAGAGGTTAAGTTATGGAGCTTCCTGTTTTGCAGAATGTGTAGGTGAGTAAAACAAGATGAAGAAAGAGGAATTTGAAAACTTGCACAGGGATATTGTGTTCTGAGAAGAATGATACTTATCTCTGAGTGATCAGCATTCATGGAAGTAGCAGAGAGGTTCCACCAAGGTTTACCAGGCCCACAGCTGCCTGAAGTTTGCATTCTGTGAACTCTGAAAAACTGCTAAGCATTAGAGCTGAGCAAAGGACTAAACCACTGTGGGACTAAGCCCAGCCATAGGCATGAAGAGCAAATCTCTTTAATGTTGCTGTGGTGAAGGTCCTGCTGCTGCTCTCTGAAAGGTGTCGAAAGAGCTTCGTGCTGTAAATGCATTATGTTTCTGCTCTGCCCTTGGAAATTAAATTCTTGCCTTGAAGAAAATTGTGAGGTTATGTGCTTGGGAGAGGGGAAGTCTTTTCATCCACCCTACAGGAGCTATGGCTGGCACACAGGGTGTTTTCAGAAACCCAGTTCTTTCAATTGAAAGTCCAGATGGGAAGGGAACAATCTGAATATCCATCCCTTTGCTTAGCTGATTTCTGTGGCTGAAAGATTAAAAGACAGAAAAAAAAATAGAAGGGGAAGTTTAAAAAACACCTCCCTTTTTTATTTCCTAGGACACAGTGCATCATACTTCCCCAAAAGAGCTAGATACAGCTACAGGTATTCAGCAGTCACCAACACATTCCTGCAGGGAAATAGTTACAAGAGCAGTGGCATCTCTCTGGAGAGCACAGTGATCATTGAAGTATTGGGGAATTGCCAGATGGTTTTGAAAGTAAGTATTGTCATAATTGTTTGAATGATTGAGATGAGCTGATGTGGAATCTTATTTTTCTTTGGGATTATTGCTACATTTCAAGCATTTGTTTTTCTTGTAATTAAAAGCCAGTTCAATTCTGGATCTCATAATTAGAGTTGGAGTATTGCTTTGATGCACCACAACTTGAAATTAGGTATTTGCCATTTTAAAAGGCAGATTAAGCAAATAATTGTTTTCTTTTTTAAGTGACACAACAGTTTCATGGGTTTTTTTACGAAGTGCAGAACTGGAGGTAAAGCCAGTCCTTGAAAGGAACTTGGTTTACTTTAAAGCACTTTCATATCTGTAGTAATAATTTTAAAATAGCAAGAATTTGAGAGCTTGAGAAACTTGTATGATGTGCTGGATTGGTGCCATTCCTAGCTCAGTGTAAAGTTCAGTCTTGTAGCACTCCATTCATCACAACAGATCTGTCTCTCAGTGACAAGAGCAACAGGGCAGTTTCAAACTGCAGAGCTTCTCCTAGGGTTAGCCCTGTGGTAGGCCAGGTGGAGAACTACAGTGCTTTAGAACTACAGGGCAGCAAGGAAAATCAGTTCTCAGCTGTCTGGATTTTCCTTCAGGTTAACAGAGGGGATAATTCACTGCTTTTTCTGGGGGTTGACATGTGTCTACTAAATACACACACACATGAGGCCAACAAAGAAGAGCACAGTTATCCCTGTCCTAGCACATGGATAAAAATTTACTGGTTAGTAATTTGATGGTCAAAGGGATATAACGGTGCTGTATAAAATGTGTTTAATAGTGAATGAAACTTTTTCATAGAAGAACTTTCTGGAAACTACCTCAGATATTCCACCTGAAGATAGGGCAAATGCAGTTCTATTGCAACACTGAACCTTTGTTCATAGTCTGTGATGTTTGGTGTGGATATCCCGACGTGATAAACCCACAAGTTCCTCTTGACAGTGAAATATATTGCCTATAATCTTTGCTCCTAGGTGCAAGATGTACAGATTAAGAAAAGTTTTGCATCCAGAGAGGAGTCTCTGATGGAAATGGACAGTCTAAGGTAGAAAACCTTCTAACTGGTTTTTGGGTTTTTTTGAAACTATATGGCTTAGCAGCAGCTTGACTGGACACTGTTCACTCTGCTTCACACTCTGCTTAGTTTTAGGGGTTTGTTTTGGTGGTTTTTTGGGGGTTTTCTTTTGTTGTGGGTTTTGGTTTTTGTTTTTTTTTGGTTTTGGTGGTTTTTTTTTTTTTTTTTTTTTTTTTTTTTTGTTTTTGGGGTTTTTTTTTTTTTTTTTTTTTTTTTTTTTTTTTTTTTTGTTTTGTTTTTTGGGTATTTTTTTGTTTTGTTTTTTTTTAAGATGAGGATCCAGATAAACAAAAATGAGAGAATAAGAGGCATTTGGTTCAAACAGGTTTTTCTTCAGCATAACTTTCATCTCTTTGTATGTAAAACCATTTGGATGGTAGACAGTTCAAATTATTTTGAGTACAAATCACCAGGCCTCTAGCAGCACGTGTGGATCACAGCTCTTAGAGCTGCAGATGTTACTTCTACAGACTCTAGAGTATTGCAGTACATTTCAGAAATTCTTGGTTTAGAAGATTATCGTAAGGCAAAACATGGTTTTTTTCTTCCAAGGTATTTATATTTCATTTATTTGTCCAATGAGATTTTCTTCCTTTTCTGTTTTTGAGTTTAGTAGCTCATTCATAACATATGTCAGTGTTTCTCATTGACTTGCCAAGGTATAGTCCCTAGCGTAGATGGCTATACAAAAAGATCTCCTCAAACTGTGGAAGTCTGGCATTTTCCCAGAGAGCTGATGCTTCTTGTGTCATCAAAAAAAAAGCAGTTCTGTTGTCTGATTAAGCTCAGCCTTGTAATGTTCCTCTTTGTCCTGCCAATTGGATTCTCAGCCTTTAAACAACACTGAGAGCTGAGGTAATTGACTCAATTCAAAGGGTCAAAAAGAGCAAGCCTGGGGTAAATGCATTGCTTTTTATATTCATCAGGAAGAACTTTGTGTTCTCTCTATGGGCAGTGGTATCAGAGCTCAAATGAGTGTACAGGCACATCTTCTGCAAAGTTATTTGCAAGATTTTCATAGCAGTAAGAGCAGTTGTGTATTGTTCTTTGTAGAGAAGCCAAAAAAGAGAGGTAGCAAAGAAAGCATTCAGTGAAGCTTGGCTATTCAGAATAATTATTCAGACAAGTGAGACTTATTAGCATTTGCCTCAGCCTATTGTGAATATACAGTAGTCTAGCTTGTCCTCTGAACATGCATGTAATTTCCACAGATAGTAGCAAAAACAGGCTCAGTTGCCTGGGAGTTCAGAAACCCTTATCTTATATGCCCAGTCTCTTCTGGAAGGACTTTATCAAGATGTTGTGTATTAAAGTTTTGTCTCTTACTTTGTGACTGACTGACTAGATTAATAGTTAGTGCCCCAGTTAATGTGCAGATGGACTGTCTAGCTCCCTGTGTGGGAGCTGACCACTGGGCTACAATAAAATTCTTCCTTTGGATGGTTTGTTTTTCCCCATTTAGAGGGAAAATATATGATTCAAGTATGTTACTTTAGGAGTGAAAATCAATGTTAAAAAGTGATCCCTTGGAAAGGTAGAAAACACTGTACTCTCAATCTAGGATAGTAAAAGCCATTAGGAAGTGTACTAACAGCGGAGATTGGGGAATAAGTTTGGGATAGAGCCTGAGTATTCACACCTAGCAGAGCAGGAAGATATGGGTTAATTGGGAAGCAATTGTTCTTGTGTGCATCACAGCTGAAGAGGCATGGTGCAGTTACTTTGCAATTCAGACATGCCTACCAAAGCTAAAGGCACCCTGAATAATAAAATGGAATTTCTCTCTTAATTACACAAGAATCATTGCCATTAAGTACATTTACTCATAAATAATTTGCCAGGACTGCTTTTATTAAGTGTTGCAGTTATGTTGAGGATGCTGTAATTATCTTGAGCAGATTTGTTTTTAGGGTTTCACAGGGTTTTTTTAAGGACTCCTTGGGTTAGGCTGAGTTTATGAAGAATAGAGGCTTGCTGTAAAGAACAGAGATACAGAGTGAGACAGATCCATTATGGAAGAACAGCTCTGTTGAGGAAAATCTGAGTCTAATGTCGTAAATTGACTTGCACTCTTTGAAGCAAGAAATGATAAACCTTTTTATTGCAGGGAAATACTAGAACAGCATCCTCTTCATTTTTCTTTCCATGAGGGGAAAGTTCTGAAGCTCTGTCCTGTGAGGAGTGAACAGACCTGGGCACTGAACATCAAGCGAGGTATTCTCAGTATCCTGCAGACAGCACCAGAACTCCCTGCTGCTGCTGTTGAGGAGGTGAGACTGTCAGTCATGCTCTGAGGTGACTCCTAGCTCTTGTACATGTTAAGTCTACTCCACTTGTAAATAAATATAGAGTTTTGCTACTTGGTTCAGCAGACAGTGGCAGTCATCTGATTGCTTCTTTTAGTGAATGTTCTAAAATTATTTCAGGCTACTGCTGCGTGTCAGTGCTTAAAGAGATGTTCTGCAGTAGGGCTTGGCACACCCATATGTAATTGAAGCTACTCTGCCTAGTAATGCTCTTCTGAATTAATGATTCCCTGCATGCCCACAAAATTTTAAATGGAAAAGCATATGTCTGTACTTATCTGATTCAGAATAACACAGTGAAATTAAACAAACCAATAGAGCCTAACTACTATAAACTTAACCAAGGTCTTTAAAATTATTTGCCTTTTCATGGCTTTTGTGGCAAAACTGGTCTTCTGCAATGGAGAATTTAGATCTCTGTTGTTATTACAAAGAAAGTAATTATAAATAGTAATTGCAATAACCTACACTATCTCCTTGTATTTTCTGTGTGCATGTGTGACTCAACAGTGTATATTTGATACTAGGTGGATGTCCTGGGAGTATGCCCAACCAGGTATCAGCGAAAGGGTCCCATTCTTGTAAAGACAAGGGACTTAAACCTCTGCTCCCATCGCTCCTCTGGTTTGACTTCTGTGCAGTCTGTTGTTCTTCCTCATGTGCCAGTAAGTTTTGGAGAATGACACTGACTCTTGCTTTTGACTCATTTGAAGAGAGTGTCTGCCCAAACTTGAGTTCTTAGCAAAGAAATGGTGAATATTATTTTCCGTGTAATGGCTGTTATTCACAGAATTTGTTTTAATGCAAATTTGCATTGTAGTTGATGAATGTTACAGTATAAATGCAAGAAGTTGTTAGGCACCTGGATTAAACTCTCATTAAAATATGTTACAGAGGTAAACTGAAAATAGTCTGTGGAAGGAAGGAATTGGGAGATGTAAGAAAAAGTACATTAGAAAAAGAAAGTTATTATTTGTAGAAAACTTTAGAAAGATAGAAGATTTTCTAAATACCAGACTTGCAACTTTCCACTGTTGATAGAAAATACAGTCAATGTTTGTATCTTGTGCTATTTTTATTAGGTGAATATCACCTGTTTCTTGTAGTAGCTATTCATAATTTACCAGACTATTGCTTTTTTTCTACTTTGCTGACCAAAAATACCTGATTAACTTTGAGGCTTTTTGAATTGAAATGAATTGACACCATTTGATGCTGACAGTTAACAACAGTTTTTTTCAGTGATGAAAAAGTAGGCTAAAATAAGGAGTGCATTAACCTCCACAGGCTGGGCCCTGTCAGAGGTGTAGACAAGAGACTTCCCACTATCCCAGAACTGGAACCTTCTGTGACTTTGGGAGAGAAAAGATGGGGTAGGCTGACACAGATCATCAAGAATATTCCTGAAGTATCTGTTTTTCTCAGTCTGAACAGCAGATTCTGTCCTCCCAGCTGGAATGTGTCCAGAGCATTAGGGATGGGGTCCTGGAGGAGGCCAAATGTACCGAGTCCGACCGCGTGGCGCTGTTCCCTCAGCAGGGCAGTGGGGCAGAGACACGGACACGGTCTGCACTCAAACTCGTGCAAGTGGAAACAGAGACACTCTACAATACAGGTGACTATGCTTCTGCTAAAGTAAATTTGTTTCCTAGAAAAATATTGTGACTTTGTCTCGCCTGTGAGAACTCTTTGCACCCATGATTTTCACCTTTAATAAAACTGCTTTAAAGTGGGTGTTTTTAAAGGCTGGGCTGAGCTATCTCTTCTTAGGGGGCTTGGGCCTTACATAACAAAACTGTGTTGACCTCCAAAACTGGGTAGGTTTCCAAAAATGACAGTCTGTAACAGCTAGTTCCTCTTTATCTGCTTTACATACTTCATGCCCTTGTGTGCTGAGCATCAGCCTTCCCAGGTCTGTGGACAATTCCTATTTTTTATATAAATGGAGCCTAAATAATTGCAAGTCCTAATGGAGCTAAAGACATGCCATGTCTGAGAACGGTTTAATTTTTGCTCCTTCTTTGCTCCATGTGTTTCTTCTTAGGAAAATGGTTTTACTGAAGTCAACAGGTGGCTTGCTTGAGGAATGATTTCAAAGTTGAACTATAAGTGTTGAGGAACATGTTTCTTGTCTGTTTCTAAATAGTTTTGTTCTTGTTTTAAAGGAACCCCTAGATTTCCAGGACACTTTTTTTGTAATTATGCCAGTATAAGATAATAGGATTCTTCTTCAGGAAGAGGCTCAGAGCCAAGCCATTTATTTTAATTTGCACCTAGATCTTCTGTTCACTTTTTGGGTAGTTGAAGTATGGGACTAGTGATTAAATGACACTGGAAAAGGTGATGAATTTAAAGTAGCAGGGCCATACTAAGAGATGGATGGGTGAAAAATAGGGCTTTTTTAATGTGTGTCTTTGTCTTGTATCTTTGACTCTTTTGTGTCACACATGTCTTTATTCTGTTGTGTTCTTAAATTCAAGCTGACTGCACTTATATTAATAGTCATACAGGGAGAAATAAAGACTCAGAGAGAAACTTTCCCCTTGCATATAGGGTTAATGATTGCAAATGGCCACCAATCACCAGAGATGTGATTTTTCCTTTATGTTCCTTATTCCAGGGGACTCTGAGGACCTGTATGTGACCAGCATTCTCTATGAAAGGGAGGTGACTAAGAGGGAGGTCACTGGTGCAGAAGTGACTGAGCTGGTGTGGAAGCTTTGCTTAGCACACAGTGCTAGTTATGAGGTAAGCTGTACAGCCTCTGCTTCCTTGGGGAGCTCTTTGTGGGCTGAGAATTCTCCTGCACAGATAAGGGGTGACCAGGAGAGCAGCAATTTTGAAATACTGAAGCCTTTCATTGTTTTGGACATTTTTACATGTGGAATTAGAAAAGAGAAAATTCTTTGAAATGTCATTTTCTTAGATAAGCAGGACACCACACTGAGGAGTTAAAACATCCTGTAGCCCCCTGAATATTAGGCAAAAGCAATTTTGAACTATATTCTAAGTTAATCTGAAAGAAAATGTCCCAAATTTTTGTTTTGCTGTGAAAAAACAAAAGCATATAAAGTATCTGGTTTGAGTTGTCACTGGCAGTTTTGCTACTTTATAGTAAAACATGTCTTTTACAGCTTTAGTATGTAATACTACCCTGGTAGTGCTGTTGTTTCCATGTTCATTGGAGTTCTGCCATCTTTATATTGCTTCATCCCCTCAAAACAGTTTGCACATGAAGCCCTTGCCTCTTGGTCTTGGCTGGTGGGTTCCTTGTGCTCCTGATGAACTCTAACAGCCGTTGTGTTTTCTGGAGATGCTGCTTGGGTCCAGAGGGAATCTCTGCCCCCTAGACATTTTCATTGGTGAATGCTGCTAAGATAGGGTGGATCTTCTGGTCATGTGGAACAGGTAGTGGCTTAAGTAATTTTTATGATGACCATCATTCTAGGTGAGTGTGTCTGCCTGTCTCCTTAGCTCACTTGGGTGTTTTATTTTTTGTTGATACTGGCAGCAGCTGAATCAGTCAGTAATTGTCTCTGTGTTTGAACATTCCTATCTCTGTTCAGAGGTTATCAAGAGCAGCTGTTATGTACAATACAGAAGGATCAACAGATGATGGTGCTTAATCACTGTTCATATGAGATCAACTGAGGGCAAACAAAGGACACTTCATATCACTTCATTATGCTTCAAATAGAGTGGTTCTTGCTAGTAGTGAAGGTCCTACAGAGAAAAATAAGGGAAAAAATGTAAACATGAAAACAGAAGAAAATGTGAAAACAGAAGAAATGTAAACGTGAAAACAGAAGAAAAGTAATTTTTGATCAGGATATTACTAGAAAACAAGTATGGTCTAATGGGAGAGGCACTAAACAGGGCATTGGTGCCTCCATGAATTTGGCAGTGATGAGTTTAGTCAGCTCATTGCTGATATATTCCCTGTCCTCTGAGGTTCTTGTCAGATTGTTTGTACTTTGGAGCAAGGTTATTTCCTGTGCAGAGAGGCTGAGACCTCTCCTGTAAATGCACATAGGTACAGATGATGTTAACAGAAAGCTTGAGACCCAGCGTGGAAGTCCCTCACCTTCCTTTGTTTAGATTAAGTCCCATGTCAAAGAACAGAAGCTCTTCCTGTCTTTCCCCTGAGCTGGACACAGATGCTGAGGGATGGAAGAGAGGCTTTATGGGGACTGGAGAAACGTGCAGTGCTGGATTGCAGCTCTGCAGTGATATCCTGGGTGTGTTCACCTTTCTCTTAGTGTCCCCTGTGATTCATGAGCACAGGTAGGTGTTCATGTTTTATGTGTGAGACTTCAGGGCAAGGCACAGGGTGGAGCAGGATAAGTCACAGCTGCTGAAGCCAGCACCTTCAATCAGCTGTGACAAATTCCAGCCCCAGACCTTACTCCCAGCCTGTTAAATGGTCGTAGTAGCTGACCTGGTATCACAACCTGACTAAAGCCTGGGCATGGGGCTGAGGAGAAAGTAGCAGGTGGCCTTTGTGAGTGTTGCAATATTTGGGATTGGCTTCTGTCTGAGTTATAAGCAGGTCTGCCATCTCTTTTTGATGCATGCTATGGAGACTGGGGCTGTGGAGGGCTAAGAGAGCCATACAATAATGGTTGGTGCTAATATAGAATAAGAGCAGACCTTCCTCATAGGGAAGGATAATGCTTGATTCCATGTGATTGTCAGTGTACAGCAGTATGAAATGGCATTTAGGCACAGACTAGAGGGTCACATACTGCCTGGAAAATGTTGAAGAAAGAAATTACTGCAGGAGACCTAAGCAACTTTATGTAAATCCTACCTTCTGTGTGGAACACTCTTTTCAATGTCTTTGAAAGAATGGTAGATCATTTTTCCCAGTGACAGTGGGATGTCACTTCTGCCTCCAGAAAGACCTACTGGCTTCATGTGTGGGAAATTTGTTTTTTAAATCACTAAGATTAGCACAAGTGGCTGCTGTCTGTGCCACTGCCTAAAGGAAAAGTGAATTATTCATCATGTGCCTGTCCCAGCAGAGAGTTTGATTGGTTGTCAACCATTTTCACTGTTTCAGGGTGTTCTTTCTGTGTGACCAGACATTTCAAAGAGAATCTTTATCATCCCTCATTTCAGCCAATGAAATGTCCTTTGGGCCAAGAAAGAAGTTATGGGAATGCCCACAGTGTTGCTTGGGAGACAGCTGCACTGTTATGCATGTAGAGCTTGTTTGTCCCTTTATTGTTTGACTCTGAATGAGGTGAGATTATGCATTTCTTTCAGGACACAAGACCAAGAATAAATGGAAGGGAAACTCTCCAGCTCTGGGGAAAACAGTGAAGGGATGAGAAAATGGAGGTGGAGATGGTATCATTTCCAAGGAAGCAAAGTTGTTGTTTAATTTTTTAATGCTATTATGAGACAAGATTGAATTTCAATGTGGATGTAGATTAGCTAATGGACCATTAAGTGAACAAGCTGCCTGCTGACAAAGAATGAAAAAGGGATGGGGAGAAGGGACCCTCTCTTGAGAGAGGCTGAGAGAAGCCTGTCACACCACTTCTGCTGGGGCTGCATTTCCAGTGACTGGCTGGCTTTTGGTGCTTGGTCAGTAGCTCTGGTGAATGTGGCTGTGTATGCACTGAGCAAGGTGGGCAAGAGTATGTCAGATTTGCTTTGCCTTGTTCCTGGACCCCAGTCTGACCAAAAAAAAATTATTCTCAGGGCATGAGCTTTCATTGATTAGCTAATGGACCATTAAGTGAACAAGCTGCCTGCTGACAAAGAATGAAAAAGGGATGGGGAGAAGGGACCCTCTCTTGAGAGAGGCTGAGAGAAGCCTGTCACACCACTTCTGCTGGGGCTGCATTTCCAGTGACTGGCTGGCTTTTGGTGCTTGGTCAGTAGCTCTGGTGAATGTGGCTGTGTATGCACTGAGCAAGGTGGGCAAGAGTATGTCAGATTTGCTTTGCCTTGTTCCTGGACCCCAGTCTGACCAAAAAAAAGTTTATTCTCAGGGCATGAGCTTTCATTTTTGGTTGGTTTTGATTTTTAGGGATTTTTTTTTTCCTTGTAGGCCTTCCAATTTGCTTGCTCCGCCTTGGTTGGTTTTTTTTTTTTTTTTTTTTTTTTTAATATGGCAGATCTGCAGGTAGAAGGATAATCAAGCTTCTATGTAGAATAAAAGCCAGGCTTTCTTATGTTTCTTTCAGAGATGGGAACAGGAGTCAGATTTGAATGTAGTTTGTTATTATGATACTACAAAGAGAGAAATTTGTAATGACAGCTCAATTTCAGTGCAGCCAACCTTAAAACATGAAAACAGCCCACCTGGTTAGACAGTTCATTCTAAAGATTTATTATTAGAGAGTAAAAATAGCTGCTTCTCTGCAAAATTTTGCATGGAGTTATTAGATGAGAGCTTGTCTAGTCAGCAGGTACGAAGCAGAATGAAGTCAGTTTACAGTCTAAAATTGTATCACGTGAAAGTGCATCAGTCTGGCAGTTTTATCTTGACCTATGCTGCAGCTCCAGCTGATGGGCCACCTGGGCTCAGCAGCAGCTGCACACGCAGCTCCTTGGCAGGAGATCTGTGAGGATCCCCTGCCCCTCAGTAGATTGGCCTGTGGAAAAATGAACATAGCGCCCATGCTTTAGAAATGCTTTTAAAAAGATATTATTAGTCACTAGCTCCATAGTGTCCAGGCTTGGAATTTCTTTTTTAAATAGACCTCAGTGATAATGAGGGGATGGAATGGAATAGAAGGGAATGTGTGTGGATCTATCTGAATTCTAGGTATGGAATTATAAATGTTAACAGAATGTTAATACATAAGTGGGGCATCACATATGAGAACTGGTTTTAATTTAATTAAATTCCATATTATTTCTAAGAATAATATAAATCCCAAAAGAATAAAACCATAAACTATATCTCTATTGGATCTGACAAATTACTCCCTCAGCCTGTCAAACAAAACAGTGAGAAATTACTCAGACTTCTTACTGAAAGACAGCTTCTTGTTACTGAAAATGGCTTGGCAGTCTTAAATTAAAATTGAATGCTGGCACTGGGTTATTCCATGTTTTCATTGTTTTTGGGAGTAGCTCCTGGAAGGAAGGTCAGAAAGGCAAAGTAGGCCTGTCCCCAAACCTTTGGAAATGTGACTTGGTGAAATTAGACTTAGTTTGATTTTTACGTGAAGAAAAATGTTTTCTTTGGAACCATAAATTTAGTCCTATGTCTAAGCCTTTCACATCTGAGGTGAAAAAAGCATTGAAGTGAATCTGACATGGATGATGTTTAAAACTTACACATTATAAATTCACTTAACATGAACATACAAGATATTATATTGAACATTCTGCTAATTTTTCAAGTAATGAGACCTATCTTGTTTCTTGGACTTTGGATCAGGTCTCAGAGGAATACATCCACGTGCTATTTAGGATTTAAAATCCCAGGTAAAATAGCTGCTGTATGATGTAGCAACTCCTCTGAGTGAGAGAGAACAGCTCTTCTGCCTCTATGTTTCCAGCTAGTCCTCTGCTGCCTGCAGAGGTGGGGGCAGTTCTGCCTAGGCTTTTCCCCAGTAAGATGGAATATTTCTCACGGCCCATGGGTTCTCAAGTGAAACTTTTAAGTGTTGCCCAAAGCTCACTTAAATGATCTTTCACATAAACCTAAGATTAATATGCAGTTAGATTGACAATTGTTTCATTTGTGTCAAAGCTATGTCAGCAGTTCTGGTCATAAATCAGGATCTTGCCATACAAAATCAGAGAAGATTGACAGTCTCTTCTGGATTGTAACCACACTGTTGCCTTTTGGTTTATTATTCATTTGTATGCCAGTGGTGTGTGTGGTGGTCACTGAGGACTGTTGTCTGAGGGACTGACTGACATCCAAAGCAAAAGCCCTTCTCCATATGTGTTTGTAGTCTGGACAGAAAAGCAAATGAGGAAGGAATGTAAGGACACAGGGAAAGGAAGGAGGGTTCAGTCTCAGGTAAATCAATGGCAATGCCAGCATAACCTCTTGTGCTCTGTTCTCTTAAGCTGGTTTCTGCACAGCAGGAATATTTCAATTGTGGTTGTGCACTTACAGACTGCAGACCTTTTCATGACTCTGGTGTTTGAGCTTCGACACCTTTCTCTTGAGGCCTTAAGAGCACTATGGCAAAGATCATCATTTAAGTGCAGAGACAATTGGTAAGTCTCCTTTAGTAATTGCAGTCGAAAATATACAGCAAAAAAATATTTTGCAAATATTTAAGTGTTTTAAATCTGTGACCAAATGTTTGATTTAAATTTGGAGCATTTTAAAGGAATAATTTGTATTATATCTTGTTTCTGTAATAGGATGACATTCTCTCCTCACTGAATGAATGTTATGTACAAAATAGACTTACCTATTCCCACAGCCAGATTTCCTGTTTCCAAAGCAATGTGAATGGGAAACCTGAGTCATGGCTTGGATGGAAATCAGTTCTGCTGCTTTTAAGCTTATGTTGCCATTTGTTATGAAAAAGCTGACCTGGATCTGTACCTTTAATGCCCTTAATAGTTGTGGTGCAGAGGAGACAGATGTTAGGCTGGAAGTATGGATGTGGTGGAGCTGCATCTTTCAGTAGCAGCTCGATCTCAGGAAGGTTTATGTCAATTGTAGAACTGTGGCTTTGAAGATCAAGATCCTATTTCTCTGCAGTCAGGAATAGTTCTGATCCAGTGGTTTGAGACTTACCAGAAATACTAATCCAGTATTATTAAAATCAGTACGTTTTTCTCCCTTCATAAAATTGAAAATAATGAAACAATTATTTTATGTGGTTTCAGTACAAAATGTCATCAGCCTATTTGAAATTAATGCCAAGGTTTGTGTTTGCAACACTATCTTTACTTGATGCAAAAGGGGCATATTTTGTTTTGGATTAGGTTTATTTTCATCCTTTGATAAATAGTCATGCTAATATTCTTCAGTATTAGATAGTAATTAAACTACTCTGGCTCTTTTATATTACCTTTAGACTAATTTTACTTGGACATGGTTATTAAATTTAGGAGTGAAAGAGAATCCCATGCAGATTACACTCTGATATTTTTACTCCATCTAGTTTAACTGCTTTCTAGTTAATACAAAAGTGTCCTTCCATCAGTATAGGAGGCAGGTACAGAATATTTACAGAGGGACTCTTAAGACCTGAAATACGTATTGTCTGTCATGCTGATGTAAGCTTTTCTCTTAGATAAGGTCTAAAAAAGCTCAGGAAATAAAAACTAGTCAATTCAGTTTCAATATTTTAATTTGTTACTCCTGTTACAGGTGAAATGAAAGGTAAAAACCACCTTATTAAAAAGTCAGTGCTTTAAGGTACCTCAGTCTTTAGAAGTCAAACCTGGGATATGATGTGGCTCAATTCTCAGAGAAAGCAACCGAATATTTTCTTGAAAATCTGGTTAGGGACTATTCTTCAAACACCACTGCACTTCCATTGCATCCTGTCTGAAACATATTTCTATAAGGCCACTATACCAGGAGATAATATTGATTTCTGTGGAATCTGGAATTTGCTAAGCCACTGGACTTTTATTTACTTTGAAAGAAGCCCAGTCTCAATGGACTTGTTATGTGATTCTTAAGTATTTTGGTCATTTTAGGGTTTTTTTTGTACTTTTTTTCTTGTGTTACAGGCAACCATTAATAGATGCTCTCCCATCTTGTGCCACAGAGGCATGTGTTGTCCTAATGAAAGACCTCATAGCTTCTGAAGAAGTTGAGGAAGACAAAGTAGAATATTTCTTCTGGTCATTAGCATTCATTCCTAATCCCACCTCGGGCATGATTGAATCTCTTGCTGTGAGTGGATGTTGTTTTTTCTTTTTTTAATTTGTAGTGAATCTAGGTGGCTCATAATTTTTTTGTTTTACAGTAGCAGTCTTTTTCACAGATTTATACAAAGCTTTGTCCAGGTAATTTTGTTGAGGTTGAATTTGAGTATGTAAATATTTTGATACATTGACTATTGTGGCATACCACAGATTATAATTCTCATTGCTTTTCTGAAACACCTCGTTCTTTTCTGGTTGTTTACAGCCTTTGCTGAAGTCACCTAGAGCAAGCCAGAGCTGCTTTTTGGGAGTAACTGCTCTTGTACATAGGTTTTGCTCAGCTCACAGCTCCTGTGGTGTTGTACCTGCTGTGCAGAATGTGATGAGGACTCTTGGGAAATTTTTGGGAGGAAATTGTACCGTGCAAAATTCAGAACATCTCAGCAAGGTATTGGTTGTACAGAGACACATGAAATAGGGCTTTACTTTTCTGTTCCCTTTATGATATAGAACTTGGTGAAAATGGTATTCATTGGATTTCCAGAAGCTTAGTAAATGAATATGCCTTGCTAGGAATGAGCTGATAAAGTTTTGTAATACAAGTGGAACCTCTTGGTATGGGTGTTTTTGTGTGTGGAAATAAAGAAAAGCCTTGGATTTCCTGATGAAGTGGACTTCATATCATTGAACAATATGAAGAACACATATCTGTTGACAAATTATTATTTTAATTTAGTTATTGTGTCCAGAAATCTATGTTGAATCACTAAAATGTCAAAATATCTGTGGTCAAATGGGACAAAATATCAAAGTACTTGAAAAACCTTTCCAGTACATAAAATTTGTGACTTTTGCTTTTCTGTTGCAATGTAGGCTTTTAAAAAATGTTTTTGTATTCCCCCAGGTCTAAGGCAGGTTCAATTTACAAGTGCCACATGGCATTAGAATAGAACTGTGGACCATATTTGTCTTGTCCTCCCAGTAAAGCCAGGGTATAGGTGGTACAATAGGGGCTGCAGTAAATTCCCCAAATTACCAGTAATCATTTTAAACAGATGTTTGTGCAGAAAATGCTAGTGCCATGAAATTCAATGTACAGCTGCCAGCACTTGGAGAGCTTTCTGTTCTACCTTGCTGTGCATTTCCAGATGCAGCTGGTGTTGAAAGCCATTGGAAATGCAGGACTGGCAGCGGCGTCGCTGGCTCCTGCTTTGAGCTCGTGTGCTGCCCTGAAGAGCCATCCCATGGAAATCCGCCTCGCTGCTGTCCAGGCCTTCCGACGCGTTCCCTGCTCAGCCAGGGTGAGTCGTTTACTGTCACAGGTGACTGATGGCTTCCTGCCACTGCCACAGATTTGGGACTTGGAATAGTTACAAAACACACAAATGGATAAGGAAGAAGAGTAGACATGTTCCAGCAGAGCCCCTCTGCTGTTGGAGGAGAGGATAGAACCGCCCAGATGAGCAATTCAATAAGGAGCTTTGCTGCAGTTGAGGTAACACATCCAGTGACTGAGGTGGTGTTTGGGACTTCTTAACTAGGCACTTCTGTTGTGTGCCTTCTGTCTGCAGGGGATATGACTGAGAACCCACAGGACTTGATTTTTACCATAGTCTGTTTCACTGTTTAATTCTCTAAAACATAAAGTATTAATGTAAGAAGCTTGTTGTGATTTGCAATACACTGCCATAGTTAGAATATTTTGTTAAGTGTTTAATGGAAGAAAGTTCAAGACTTGTTTATCTCTAATACCTTGATACTTAGAAGAATGGTAAAGCGAGGAGTGCTGGCCTGGGTAAAGCTGACAGTCCTGCTCCAGAAGAATAAGAAGCTCCATGTGGACTTGCACTTGGAGAAGCACCTTTCTATAGCTTTTTGAAATTTAAAAATTCAGCATGGATTGGTGTAATTCCCTTGATCTGAAGTTATGAAGCTTGGCATTGCTCATTGGACATATTCAAAATATCAAGTATGTATGTTGTCATATACCCCATCTAGGGGTATATGAACTGCTGAATTGGGTGGACTGAGGCTGTTAAATGCTAATAAAAATGTTTGCGTTATCACTCAGCAGTTTCTTAATTCCTGGCAGTTCACAAAACATGTTATCTTGGTTGATACAGGGGAAATATTGAACAGAATAAATTTGTTGCTGGCCTGCTCTTTGATTGAGACCAAAAGTAATGATCTTAATAGCTTATGTACAAAACCCTGGCCATTGTTGTCTGTGTATTGGCTGTTGCACATTAGAGATACAACAGACAGGTCTCCCATATGGTGGAATAAAACCATCCTTAGCAGTTGTGCTGGCAGGGGAGGCTCTGTGTTGCAGAGTCCTGTATAGATTTGTCTGTATAGGATTCAAGGTCATAATGACAGTTTGTTCAGGAAATTTGTGGATCAGGTAGTATAGACAACGTGTACATACATTTGTATCTATGTTACACAAGGTGACTTTGTCAGGTATAAGGCAATAGCTATAAATATAGCAATAGCTCTTTGAGAACGAAAAACCCACCAGGACCTGAAAGTGCACGAGGTGTTCCAGGGGAGTGAATTGTAATTGTCTTTATCTTTTGTGTTTTTCTCTTAGAATGCTATATTAGTTCAGCTGTATCAAGCAACCGACGAAGATGTGGAAATAAGAATTGCTGCTTATTATATAGCAATGAAATGTCCACATGAAGAGTTATTTAAACAAGTACAGAAAACTTTGCTGAAAGAGACATCCAGCCAAGGTCAGCCAAACATATCCTGAAGTTTTATATGTTCCTAATTGTTACTTCAATATGACATTTACTTTGCAGGTGTAATGGTACCAATCTATATCAATTTTTATTTAATCTCAATGCTTTGTAGATTGTTTCTAAGTAATTGTTTGTATGATTGTAACATTTTATATTGAAATTGTGATACCATTACTTTAGCAATAGTAAGAACTGACTTTTCATAGAATTAGTTCCTTCTACTGGCAGCATTTAATTCACTGAAGGCTCCTGAAAAGGATATATGGAAGAGCTTTGATGGTCAGTGCATTAGAAATACAAATTCATGACTGCAAATTGCATTTTGTAGAGAAAGAAGCAAGTGGCAGAAAAAAATGCTATGATATACTAAAATGGTTTCACCACATTCAGTGAAGGATACCTGTAGACTAATCCCTTGCATTTACATCTGTCAAGAAGAAGCAAACATGAGAAGGGTATCTGTAAGATTGTTTGCAGGCAGATGAAAGCAGGCTCTGTCTGCACTGTGTCTGGATCCTGGCCAGCTCTGCCTTGGAGCTGGTATCCATTTCCCAGGATGTTATGTCCAGACCAGTGTGTCCTGCAGTGATCGTGAGTTCAGGCTCAGCATTGTGTTCACCTGCTGATGTGGCTTGTGCTTTGGAGGGCACTCATTCCTCTATGTTCAGTGTTCAGACAGAGAATCCACCTCCAAAATCCTCTCAAGGTGTACCCTTGATGACTCTTGCTGGTGACTCCATGTAGCAAATTTAATTTGTCTGATTTATGAAGGAGCTCTACAAGTCCATCCAAAATGTTCTGTATTTCAAACAATTTAATGCAGTACTCACGAATATTCTTAATTTATTTTATTTGTCTTTTGTTGATGTGACAACTATATAATTTATATAATAAACTTTTGAATAATGAGTGCTTTTGAAGTCATAGGGCACGTGTTAGTTTTTAGTTCCACATTCAGAAAATGAAATTTGAAAAGAAGTTGTATTGTGAAAAATGCAGTTGCATCATTATTCAGTGTCTGTGCATTGAACTAGCACTGGAGCCTAATATCTTTTATCTTCAAGAGACAAAGAAGCCTCTATTTAGGAACCAGACTCCGGAACACATGGGAAATATTTGCCCCCATGACACAGCACATACATGGCCAAACTGGGACTCCACAGTGTCATGCAGAATTACTAATTCTGAATCACAATTGTTTAGTTGAAGGTGCCCTGTTTTTTTTTTTTTTTTTATTTAAGGTGCTGTTACAGTAGGTGCATCAGACTGATTTTAATCATGCTGAAAATGAATGGATTCTGTTGTGGTCAGGGGAATGGCTTAGCATTAATGGTGGTATAAAAAAATTTTCCTTTATCTGTTTTTAAGACTCCTGTAATTTTTCTGATTTCCACATGCTTTTCTTTGTTGAATTTTAGTGGGCTCCTTTGTTTGGAGTCATCTCTCTCAGCTCTTGGAGACAGATGACCCATTGAAGGAGCACCTTCGAGATTCTATTCCTGATGAAATCCTTAGCAAAGATTTTGACTGGGAGACATGGAAATATTCCTCATACTCTGATGTCACGTTTCACTCAGGTATGTGGAGTTGTAGAATTTAATACTTTGTAGCATATGGATTATTAACATCCCACATGGCTTTTCTGACCCTTTACATATTGCTCCAGAGAACTTTGATTTTTATGATTTAATGCTATCCAAATATGCAAATGTAAGCTTGATTCTGCTTTGACCTTAATTGGGCATATGAAATGTATTTCCAGCAAACCAGATATGATACACCTTTGCCCCTTATGAGAGAGGAGACTAGGAACCAATGAACCTTTAAGATTATTTTTGTGAACATCAACTTCCTTTGCAGCAGCAGGGGACTGGGATGTTTTTTCTTCTCCTGATCCATGTGCCGTCCTTGATATAAGGAAAGTTTCTTCCTGTTTTACTATCTGTTCATTTATTTTCAGTGAAAACGCTAGATGATGTTTTTCAGATTACATTTTGATTTTCTCTCCATTTCCTCCAGTGCATTTATATATCTTATGTATTATAAACACTTTCCTTTCGATGTTAGTGAGATAATACCCAGTAATATCCAGTAAATATGGAATTCCAGTCAATGGAAGTTACTTACAGTAATGACTTTGCTGTATTAAAAAGTTAAATAGTTTCACCTGTTGACAATGTTTCACCATCTTCTTATTGAGTGGAGTAACAGTTTTCCAAAGAATTATGAATTCTGCAAAATATGTGTGAACAGCTGATCTCCAGCTGACAGACATCTATTTTCCATTGCAGCTGGTGCCGGCGCAAACATGGAAGCATCAGTGGTCTTTTCTCCTGTATCTTTTCTACCACGATCAATCATGACAAATTTGACTGTTCACTTCATGGGACAGGCTATAAATCTCCTGGAGGCAAGTTTACGGATTTTTTAATTGTGGGAGTTTTTTATCCCCCTCCTCAAGTGACATTTGATACATTGAAGTACAAAGCATTTTCTGTTTTCCTTTAGCAGTTCCTTTAGCAAAATGTGCTTTTCACTGCTGTAGCAGAGTTGCCTCAGACTGGGGAGTCCTTTGTGTAATGAGCTTAGTCAAAATAAAAGCACTGTCACTCTGCTAGTGCCATGCACTAGGAAAGTGACTTATACTCATCTCTTGTTGATTCAAATGAAACATTAAAGTCAGTGCTTCCTAGACACTGCTCTAGATCCTGTTTAGGACAGTAGGATTCCTTTTCTTGATGTACAGTGGAAAATGTATTGACTTGGGCACACTGTTGCTTTAATACAAAGATAGACTCATTTGTACTTAGCTGAAGTCACTGTTCTAGTGCCATTTACCTTCCAGTGCTTGGCATATTTCAATGACCTGCCTGTGACCTCATCATCTTTACCTGCTTGCCAGGTAACAATGTGCACAAGAAAGAACGAAAGTATTTAATGCAGCCTTCAGATCTCAAGTTTAAGTTTGCAAGAAAACAAAATTTTTTTTTCAGTGCCTCATACCCTGGATTTATGTGTGTTAGAAATTCTGTTTTAAGTAAACTTCCAAACAGAATCTTATTCCAGAGCATGAAAAGGATGTGTTAGTGTTTTCCAGCCAAAATACAGTTTTTGACATGCCAAAATAGCAGTATCCCCTTTTGGCCCATCATGGTGTAAATGGACCTCAGTAACTGAAGGAAAAAGGATTTTTGTTTTGGACTGAGCTTTATGTATCTAATTGTTTTAGGAAGATTTAGTACTGGAATATTCAGTATTGAATGCTGAAGAAGGTAGAATGCTAAACTTTGTAGACTACTGTGATCTTGCTTGGCAAATTTTCTGTGTTGCTTATATCTGGTTAAATATTTGATTTTCTGCTTTAGAACTGGCCATGGCCTATACATGTCACTGTTAGGCTTTTCACTGCTGCATGCTTTTCAATAGGTTGGTGTACGAGCGGAGAATGCTGAAACTCTCATAGAAAAGGGTTTTGGGCCGAAATCTTCTACTTTCAGTGACTATTTTTTTGGAAACACTGATGAAGCAAGCCACAAGTCAGAAACTCCAGTAGAAACAGCAGAGAAAGTCAAGCAGAGGAACCCGACTTTGAAGCGATATAGCCCCACTGATCATCTTGTGAACAAGTCTGGCAAGCCAAAGCTGAGAAAAACAAACCAAAATTGTCCTGGGAGAAAATACAGTAAGATGAATGAGTTAGTCAAAAAGGTAACTGAATCTGTAGATCTTGGAAAAATGAATGACATTTCCCAGTCAAACACAGGGCCCCATGTCACACTGGACAAGTGCTCTGGGTTACTGTAACTCCCTTGCATGCTTGGGGAGAATTTAACAGCTGCAGAAAATACGGAGCAGCAAAGAGCCAGATCTTTAGGGTTTTTTCAGATTGTTTTATTGTCTCAAACAATGACACTCAGCCATGGGATTATGTTGCCTGTGTTTTGGGCTTCCTCTCATTATTTTGAGCTCTGGTCCCTTTATGCTGATGTCCTTTTGTCAGTTGACTGCTGTGACACTGTAAACAGCTGCTTGATGTTGAGTTCCTGAGTCCTGTTGTTTGCAATCTGACTTCCCAGTTTGATGTCAAATGTTACATTGATGCTTTGTGAAGTTACTCATTTTTGGAGAGAGCTATGTTTTATGTACGCAACAGGAAAGCTCTGAGAATTTACTTCAGTTGTTGATGTATTAGCTGGAAAAATCAGGGATTGTGATTAATTTAGGTTGTCTTAGATCATCTCTCTTCTTGGACTCATCTTCTTAGGGTTTCTTCTTAGAGAGTAAGCTCATTATCATGTTTTGTTGCTGTGGTATCAATTGTAAGGACAGAAAATGTGAAATTTTTACTTCCTAGCAGTTTATTTAGTAATTAAGGAATCCCTAATGTTGTTTTGAGATTGTGTTTTTCAAAGCTTCATCTGTTTGTGGATATGTATTGTAATACTTCTCCTTTGACTGTCATGTTAGGACTGGACATGAACAGTGTTTATAGTGGCAGCCAGCTTGTGTGCTGTGGAGCTGGAGTGTAGCTGGAAAGAACATCTACTAATCCAGGGTCTTAAGTGGTCTCCAAAGTACTTGTGAAAGGAAGGTTTAATGTTTCTTTACTAATAGCATAGCCTGCATTGAGGAATTGTTTATTGTGAGTGTGAAAGAAAATTATAACACACTTTCTTTTTTTATCATGCCAGTTCACTGAGAGAACAGTAAAAAAGGAGGCGTTGAAATGTGAGCTAAGCATGAAAATCTTTGGAAATGAACTTAGCTTCTTAGATTGTGAAGATTTAAGAAAACAAATGAAACATTATTCCTTAAATCTGGCTGAGTTGGCTGTCAAACTTCTGAAGGTAAAAGGAGCCTTTTTTCTATTTGAAAGTAAATATCTTGAGAAACTGCCTTCTGACAGATATGTTAAAGATACAAAATATTACTTGTTGTTTTTCTAAATTGAACTCTAAAAGACACCAGTGTGTATTTGGTTTAAACAGCATTCAGTACATGAGGCAAAGATTTGTTCTGCTAATGGTTCTTACTTCATGCTTCTCTCATTCAAATCCATCCATGCTTAAATGCAAATTCTTTTTTTAACTGGAGTAGGACTGGTGTCTGACTCGTGCCATGGCCATAGGCAGGCTTTGGGCTGCTTTCTTCTTTATGTCCCAGAGCAACTCAGGTAAAAACAGTTACAATAGACAGATGCAGTCAAAAGTTATATCTGGCAAATTTATTGAATGCTAACTCTATTATGCAAAATAATATTCTGGGTTTTGTTTGGGTTTTGTTCACCACAGGGGCAGGAGGTCCAGTTCAATAAAAGGATGAGCTTGGCCACTGAAGAGCTACAGTTTCCAGCAATTTCAGGCTTTCCTGTTCAACTGGCAGTCAATGCCTCAGCAGCAATCAACATAAAAATCAAAGGAAGTGCTGATTTCAAACAACAGTCCAATTTCTTTCTAAATGGATATATCAAGCCAAGGTAGTAAATGCTGCAAATGTGTCCCTTTGACATGTCCCTAATGTAAAGTAGCAATTCCTGATGTGAAAGTTTTGTGTGAATGCCTATTAATTAATTAGGAGATTCCTGAAGAACAAAAGCAGTAATCATCCTTCTGTTGCTGAGTGGTTGCCATGGTGTGAGGGCAGCAGTGCTTTCATGTCCTGCCTGTCTGATTTTGAACTCTTGCTGTGTTTTTCCAGTACTGGTTTAAGCTGACTATTCCTCTCTATCTCTAAATGAAACTCCTGATGATTTTTGGGAATGTTTTACATGTGACAAGTGGATTTTTCTTGGGATCAAATAATGCTGTTACAGGTTATGGATGCACAAACCAGTGGAGAATTTAACTCTGTGTTTCCTTACCTGGCTATTTTAGCTTTTGTACATACTGAATACATTACTAAATTTTATTAAGTGCTGTACAGATGGGGAGAAATTTGCCCTCTGATAGTCAGTTCAAATTGCTTTCCCATTCTTAATATTTTGTGCTGAAAGCTGCATTCAGATCCCCTCCTTAGGAGATACAGTAGAGCTATAATTCATGACAGAAAGTGTGTGTTGGTGTACATGCAATCTTTTCAGTTATTTCCTGAAACAAAATAGTTCATGATTTTAATCATAGAATGTACTGTGTTACAGCATCAAATGCTGTGTATTTATTGAAGAGGTTTAAATTGTGCTTTAAAAAGAAACTTCATTTCATAGAAGGATATGTATCTGAATCTTTCAACAGTGCATTTGTTCAGCTTTCTGTCCAAATGGGAATTGTGGGGACTCTGGGACAAGCTGGCCTAAAGTGGTTAACAGGAATGAGGACATCTACTAGTCTTGATGGGGGGATCCAGGTGAAGAAAGGGAAAGAGCTCAAAGTTTTCTTGAACACTCCAGAAGAATTTATGGAGATAATTAATTTCAGGTAAGATTAAGCACAGCCATCTTCAGTAACTGTTAACTTTCTTGAATATAACTGACAATTTTGTTTAGATACTGCTGTAACTTCAGCATAATTGGTTTTAAATTATTGTTCAAAATTCTTGGTTGTAGCTCTAAAGTCTACGTCAGAATGGTGGATGAGACAGAAGATATAGATGTTTTCCAAGTCCACACAGAAACCAGATCTTGCACTAGGGAGGAAGGTGAGTCCAGCTATTATGTTTGTCTTAGAAAGGCATTCTGAAATATCCATAACAGATCGTTTTATTCACTAGAGTTTCTTTTTTCACGTATTTTCTCTAAAAGGTCTACAGTGCAATGTTCATTTTTGTGTTTTCTTTGTTTGCTGTTCTAATTGAATGTTCAACTGTTGTCTTCCACCAGTATCTGAGATTATTGGCTGGCAGCTGTGTTCTGAAATGTCCTATCCTGACCCAGCCAGTGGTTTGGTTTTCCCCCTCACTGGACCTTTGAGAGTGGCTGTGACATTAACTAAGCAAGACAGAGGCCTGCAGCAGTACGTGGTGGAAGCTGCCTATAACTACATAGCTCAGGTACCACTGGCACGCTGGGCTCTGGCTTTAGTTGCAGTTTTCTGTTCTGGTGTATCTGAGCACTGCATATTCAACCCTCTGCATTCCAAGTTCTATGTTATTGTTCATTCCATTCCAAATATATGGGAAGATATGTTGAGCACAAATTACTGGTGCTGATAAGAGGTATATACTCTTTTTATCTATTATCCTTTCTTTCTTTCAGGAGAATTCATGGATCCCTAGTGAAGCTGTCTTTCACTTCTTCCTTGGGACTCCAAAGTCAGACTTGAAAAGAGATGTTGGTGTTGACTTGAGTTTTAGTGTCCCACAGAAGAAATTCAGAATCCAATTTATACAACCTAAGAAAAAAATTGAGATTGATGGTAGGTTTTTCAACTAAGAGCCTGATCATCAGCTAATACCAGTTAGGAGAACTTCCTTATATCAGTTAGGAGAATTTAATTACAATTAACTGAGAAATATCAGCATATTTCACGCACTAATCCAATGCTGAAACTACATTATTATGTGATAACTGTCAGTTTACTGTTTTAGGTAGCAGCCATTCCCAATGGGGTTTTCATCTTGGTTAAGACTATATTTTGCACAGTCAGGGGTACAGTACCTGGTTCCTAAAATCATATTAGAGACGAAAGCTGTTATCAGGATTGATGAATTGAGGGTTAAAGAATATGGTGCATTGTTCTGACATCTTTTACATATGCTGATCTTGCCTTACTGTTTCAATTTGCTGTGTTCTGTTAGTTATGAGATGATATTTGTTGCTCAATCAGTGAAGTACTGACTATGATATTGTAATGCATTGTAATAAAAAATAACATTTTAATCACAGTGTAACATAGAATTCAGAATCTATAAACCCATTGAGAAAATATAAACTGATACATTAATGGTAATAATATAGACAACGAATTTCAGCTTCTTTGGCGTGCTGGTCAAGTGATGTTTTGTGTTGATGTATTCAACAATATGATGTATTTAGAATTTTTTTTTTTGATCCCAGTTATTTCCAAATGGGTTGCAAGGAAGCTTTACCAACACTTGCAAAGCTTTATGTGCAGAGTGTTCTGAGCTCCTGAAATGTCTCCACAGCACGACACAACTTACAAGTTTTAGCACAGGCCTAAAGGAAGTGCATAAATCAATTCCAGAACTAAGCTGTTTTTGTTGGAGACATCTTCATTGCCTCTTCTCAGTTATTCTCCTCAGAATATCTTTTCAAAAATACTAGTTTATTCTGAAGACACCTTGCATTTTGCCTTTGCAAATTCTGATCCTAACTTTTTTTCCTTTGAGCTGATATTTATGTTTTTAATCTCTCTGTATCTATTGTTTATAACAAGAATAACTATCATTTCAAGTACAGTCTTATGAAGCATCACTGAAAGTAAAGAGTTTTCTTTTTCTCCAAGGGAGGATTGAGTTTTCTAAAAGTTCCCGAGTTGGATACCTGGAGCTGATAGTGGATGACCGAGATGTGTATTACATTAAGGTATGTTTGCATTTTGTGAGGTCTCCTTCTAGCATGAATACTTACATAAAAGCACAGAAAAGAAGGGCAGGGAAAATACACATATTGAAGAGCAGTTTTGTGAGCAGTCCATCAGAGAAATTAGCAGTTCTCCTTATTACATATTTTCGAGATAGATTCAGTGCTAAATTTCAACTTAGATCTCTGTGAGACTGCCAGTATTTTCATTAACACCCTAATAATTTCTGGCCTGGTTTTGTAACATTTGTAGTGATTTCAGTCCTAAAACCAGCAGAAGCTGAAGGAAGTAGCATCTTGCACCACTGTGACCTCTGTGTAACTGGAAAAACAAATCCATCCTTCCTCCCCATTATTTATCAATGGCAAGTTTTAGGCTTTGTGGGGTGCGGAAGGTTTGTTGTTAGATGTATAGAAAAACATTCTTCCTCCTCTCATCTCATTTCTGAAACACCCAAGTCTATACCATTGCTTTCTTAAAACTTAACTTATGTTGTTGAGTGACTTGGGGTTTGCTTTTTGATTTGTTTGTTTCTTCTAGGGAATGGCAGATTTGCAAATGCTGAGTGGAGAGCAGAGATACATGACCCAGCTGGAGGTAAAGCTGATAAAGCAAAGCAGTCCTATCATTTTGTCAGGAAACATCACTAAACAGCTTGGCAAGAAGATAGCTTTTTCAGTATCTCTGAATAATTTGTTGAAGGAAGCTGCATTTCTTTCAGGTTAGAGGACAGTAAGTATTTGCCTTATAAATGCAGGTTCTGTTATTTGTTAGGGTTATCTGGTTTTGGACACTTATTCCTTAAATTCCAAGTCCATAAAGACTGCTTTTTAAAATTACTATCCTGCATAAATTAATACAAAAAAAAAATATTTCAGAATAGAAGAAATTTTTTAATAAGTCTGTTTTGAATTATTGTTGGAAAGGGTAGAGGAAATAATATAAGAGGAATTACTTGATAAAAACATGCCAAAAAAGAGCAGCTGTTTTTCACTTTTGTTAATACAAAACAATGCAGAGACCCATATTTGTAGCTGAATGTCTTAAGACCTGCTGTTCTAAAAATCATGAAGACTTTAATTCTCATAAATAAACTAAGAGAAAAATACAAGAGAAAGTATCAGAAAGAGAGCCTTAATATTTGTATAACATCAATACATTAAAATTAAAATACAGAAATGAGGAATGCAGAAGGCAGTTTGTTTTTTGGAAGATGATCTTTTGGTGAAGTTTTCATCTTTAGCTTTCACATGGATTGCCAGTGACTGTATCCAAGCCAGTTCTGGTCTGATTTCAAACTCCTAGCACCTGGGAAAACTTGGCTGCACCAGTTGTGCTGCTGCAAAGCCACAGGCTTGCCCTGACTTTATGTAGAGGTGAACATACGTGTCACACCTTAGGGCTTAGTTAATTAAAAGATCTGTCTGTCTGAATTTATTTCCTTTGAGAAGCAGCTTTGGCTGCATGCATTTCAGTAAGCTTGAAGCAGGTTGTGAGAAGTGTGGTCTGCAGGCCACACTGGAGATAAGAGAAGGACACTGAACATCTAGCTCTGTGTCTTTTTATCTGTACACTACACAGGAAATTCATAATGGTGGAGAGACTGAATGCCCTTTTGGTTTTCCCAACTGTAGTATTCCTTTGATAGCTGAAGTAACTTCAAGTTCTACCACTGCATAATAATTTCTCTTCTTTCTGTAGCACTTCTGGAGCAAAAGGTTGATGATAAGCTGAGACAATACTCGTTGGAAGGGGAGGCTCACCTTCCAGGTGTTCTTGGAGTTCACGCTGTCGCTCTTCTCCAGCAGCACGAGGGATTGTGGTCTCATGGTCTGCAGATAAAATATGGACTCCTAGGTACACTGAAAAACAGGGAAAGAAAAAGTATTCTGTATTATTCGCTTTTCCTACGAGATTTTCCTTTGTGTTTAGAACACAGTAGAGAGATTTCAGTTAATTTTTAAACTGTGATCTGAAATTTGGAACAAGTTTCTCTTTTTAGTTGGATAAACTTTACTCTTTGAGGCTGCATATAAGAACAATTTTTTTAAATCGGCTTTTCACAAGCATACCCATCATTAGATTAAAAATCACTTTTTCAGTGAGAACTGCTCCTAATTAATTTGTGTTTTCAGATGATTGCATGCATGCACTCAATAATATGAGGGGCGGTTTCTAGGAAGCAGCTGGCTTTGCTCCCCTGGTTGCAATATAGGAATTGTGTTAATTTTGTGGGACAAAGCAGGTGAACATCAGTGCAGTTATATCAAAGTATTGAATCCTTGTAGTAGCTAATAATGATAAATGTTATAGGGGGATGGCTTATGCTACCTCTGTTGCACCTTCAGAGAGTATGTAGCAATATGAGTAATAAAGTTTTCTTAAACCTATGCAGACATGACCCCATAATTTCACTAACAATGGCTCACTGATCACAGAATCTTACAAACAACAATCAAAACACGCCTAAACACTTAAACAGTACCTTAAGATGCCTGGCTACAGCTGTGTAATTGTGCAGTTAGATACTTGGAGCATAGTTACACTTTAGTTTAAACCCAGTTTAGTTTAGTTTAAACCCAGTTTGACAGCTATTCCACCTGAAGTGTTCAACAAATACTTCCTTGGAGAAGAGTTGGATTTTTCATTTTAAAAAGTAATCCTAGTTATTAGATGGAACTTCAAATTCATTATTTTCACTTTCTTCTCAGTGTCCAGAAGGGCTAGAAGTTCTTTTTTATTTTTTTTTTTAAGATGAAATGTCATGTAATATTATGTGATACCAAGAAAGCTGCAAAGCTTGATCATGATTACTTTGCAGTTCTTTTACTTCAACCAGGTAAAACTCTGTTTAAGTAATGATGTTTATGCTTTCCTTTGGATTTGTAGGATGAATCAACAAGTATATAGCTGTAAAAATAAACGAATCTCACTTTGATGTTCTGAAAAATAGAAGTCTTGAAGCTAGTGCCAGATTCATACTATTAAGATTTTTAAATATTAACTCTGATTTACTTGAGTAAGTAACTTTGTGATTTAACTTGAGCAGAAGATGCAAAAAACCCTTGCCATGAGTGCAGCACGCAGCAGAAAGTTCAAGTGGAGACGGGTGCACGGGGCTTCTACAGACTGGAGCTGGGCCATGAGTTTCACTGTGTGCAGGCTCCCACCTACAGCCACCAGGTGGGTGCTGAGCCAGGCACCCTGTGGGCTGGGCACCCCTGTGTCACCTGTATTCAGGGCTCTCAGTGTGAGCAAGAGATCACAGCAAAAGGCAATGCTCTCCTCTTTAGGTTCACCTGGAACATGAAGTGACTGCATCTTGGATTTCCTCCCAGATGGAGGTGAACTATGGGAAACATTGGGATGAAATAAACAACAAGAAGAAAGTGCTGATCAGCCAAGCCTTTAAGAACAGTTCCAGTTCATCTGTAGTCAGCTATTTCTTGGAGGTAATAGTGATGGTTGAAAAGTAAGACATTCACTTCAAGTATTTAACAGACAGACTAAGAATAAATGTTTTGATTTGGTTTTTTTTATTACAACATTTTTTTTAAGTATGGTGTGTACTAATAATATAAGGCAAGTACCCAGACCTAATAATTTTGAGCTAGGTGAGGTCTTAGCTCAGAGACACAGAATCTTTGACATTTACTAGAAGACAAATTTTGCAAATACTGGAAAAGTTGGGGTTTAATTTGCTCCGAGTTTTTTGCATTGTTAACTCATATAAAATGATTGTAAAGATTTATGAAAGCTGCTTTGGTGACACAATGTGGAAGGAGGGCACAGGTTATAACAACTCAGAATATTACAGCATTTTTCTTTTTTAATCTCCTGTGGTTGTAACAAATGCATATTAAAGAAACCTCAATCTATAATTGGTGAGCATGCATGAAAATCTGTAGAGTGAATGGCAAATGTGCAAAGGCAGAAGCTGTGACCTTCCTGCTTCTGTGTGTGTAACTTATACAGCCCTGAAAATGGGATCTTGTTTTTATTCAAATTTGCTTCATTTCTTTTCCAGTTTACCATGCAAGTCCTGGAAAAACAGATGAATTATAGAACCCAGCTGCAGCACTTGCACACCTCTCAGGTGTATTTGCAGAGCAGCACCAATTTTGAGGTGCAGTATAATGACCGTGTACCATTTGTGGCTGGGCTGCGGTGGAAGGATGCATCCAGAAATGGCCTGAAGAAGTGGGAAGGTGAAGTACCACAAACCACTTCCAGTCTGTGATTAGAAAAGCAGGCATTGGAAGCTGCTGCCAGGTTTTTCTGAGCAGTTTTGCGTGAGTGCAACAGAATGATAAAGATGTTTGTTGGAAGAAAGAGACCCTGGAGGTTGTCCAGCCCAGCTTCCTGCTCCAGTCAGGACTGTTTCTAGCAGTAGATCACATCTGTTGTGGCTTTGTCTAGCTGAGTTTTCAAAATCTCCAACCTATCACAGCCTAGCTGGCTGGCCTCTTCCAGCAGTTGCATTTACACTGGCGAAGGACATTAATTTCATTATATACAACCCAGAGATTTTAGCACTTGGAAGAGAAAAGATTGATAGGAGCATTTTAGCTTCATTCTGGAACCTTTGGATCTTATCAGCCTTGATGTGGAATCCAGGTAGCTTGAAATCTCATGTTTCTGTCAGCTTTAATATATGTCCCTTGCAGGTGGGTTCAATATAGACACCCCATGGCTCTACCTGTACACAGCTCACAAACTGCACCAGCCTCAGCATTCTGCTTATTTACTGACATCGCAGCTGACAGCTGGAAAAGCTCTCTCCATTAAAGACCTTGTACTGGAGCTATTCTGTAAAGATCAAGGCAATGAGAAGGAGGGAAAAGTTCACATTTACACACCAGCTACCACATACCTGCAGGTTGGTGACATGGTGCTTTGCAGGGTGTATGGCTTTGGGCACAGGGCTCTGTGCTGTCACTATGCTCTGACTCTGTGGTTTCTAAGCTTCCTCCTAATTTATTTTAGACTGTGCTATACAGTAGAGGTTTAAAACTGATTTCATCATAGTTGCTGTTCATTAAGCAATGTGATAGACTTCTGTCTTTTTTGTCTTGTGTTTATGATTAAGATGTTCTTTATCAGCTTTTCCTCCTTAGGTCCGTACTGCTTCAGGCACAGTCCTGGAGAAATGTGTGAAACACTGTTGAATGAGAAAAAACTGTTCATCAATTATTTAGCTTTTTGTCTCTCCCTTGTTTGGAGGAGTTAAAATAAACTTTGAACTCTACGGTAATTTGGAGTATTTTGATAATGGAAAAGATGGCGCACATTTCTTACAGTTCTTGTAAATTATCATTCTGTCACCTCTGTGCTGTGCTGCTGCACAATGGAATGCTGTCTGTCCTGGCTCAGCCAGACTAATGTCTTTGTTTTTCAGGCATCCACAGTTAATCATCTTGGGAGGAATGTTCTGCATAGCTATAGTGAAATGATCTCTCTGTGGAATCAGCTCGTGAAGAATGAGATTCATTTGGAGAATAATGAACGAGCCAAACTTCTCTGCTTTAAGATAAAGAGTACAAAACAGGAATTTAACTTCACAGCCAGCTATCAGAATCTGCCAACGGTGAGAAAGAAAAACAAAAGCAATTTTTTTGACTCAGCACTCTGTTCCTGAAAGATGTTATTGCTAGTGTTGAACCTTAAACCCTTCCAGTACTGCATTTATTTCTGTTTGTTTTGACAGGCTGCAGTGTAAATCTAGGTTCAAAAATAAAACATAAAACTTGTGTGGCATAGTTTGGAGTACTTCTCACCTGTTAGGGAGCCCAGACAGTCAGTCAGGGAGGAGAGGGTGAAGAGAGACAGCATAACTAGAAAGAGAGCTGGAGATGTGGTTACTCACAACTTGATGAAGATGTATGAGAGGTGTAGAAAATTCTACTGTCCTGGAGAATCAGAATCTCTTGCCTGCTAGTGAGCATGGTAACAGCCCAGGTTTATAAGTTATTTTAGTCTCTACAACCCTTCCAGTCTTAAAATAATTTTTGCTTTGCTTGATGTCTGTGGCACAGGAAGGGTAATCAGCAGTTTCTTCTCAAAAGTGGTACTTTGATCAGTTGCTTTGGTCCACTCACACCTTGCAGGAAGTCTTAAAGTGTTTTTCTAAACATAGCTTTGAAAATGCTTTTTCCATGCTTTGAAAATCCAGTTTTTTTTTTATGTACCAGAGCTTGCTTATGTTGCAAGTGGGTGACACTAAAGTGATATATTAAGGGGTACTTGTCTTCTGCTGGAGTGAGTTTTCTACTGGTGGCACTTTTAATCCTCTGAGAGATTAATGGAGATTTGGACTTAAACCACAGCAGAAATGGGTGTCTGTGAAGTGACAGCCTTGCTGCAGCCTGTTGAAACAGCATGGTTTCCATATTGAGGTTCCTGAATATGAATGCAGTAAATCTGATGCAATTGTCCTTTCCTGTTCTGGTCTCATGATCTGAGTGCAGCCTAAGAAGACAAACTTTTCTGTGAAGATTGTTTGGAGAGATTATAAAAGTCTGCCTGTTATACTGCAGTGTGAAGGTCAGATAAAAGAGCTGAGGAAGGAGAAGATGCTCTATCAAAAACGTGCAACCCTGCATTTCAGGTTTAGTATTCGTATTTGTATCTTTTAAGAATGTTTTGGCCTAAATTTAATGTGCATCTTGATGCTCTTAGGAAATGTTCTGGGCTTTATAAAGTGAGAGTACCACATGCACAGGGTCTGTTCTTTGTCCCATCTGGTTCCCTGAACCTGCTCAAGTACAGCAGCTTCATGGCCTGGTTATTTGTGTCCATTAGGTTTTGGCCTCTTTGTTGAAATGACAGTGAACAAAGCTGTCAAAGGCAACAGACCATGTGTGCTGTGACATGTTTGCTGGCAACTCAGCCAGGCATATAACCTCCTTTCCTGAAAACAGCAGGATTTATGGTGTGTCCAAACTTGTGTGTGGTGAGAAGTTCCAAAATCCAGATCTGATTCTCTGTGCCATCCATGTGCTTTTTTCCTAATCCTTAGGCATTATATAGTCATTCTAAAGCCAGAGGTATCCTCTTAAAACATGTAACAAATGGTCTTGTTTAGATTTTGGAATATATTTTCATTTTCTGGTGAGAATGAGTACACTGCTCCTACATATTGCCTGTCCCTGAAATTTCTCTCTTCATTATCCATTACTAAAGCCCAGCCTGAAGGCCTTAGTAAAAATGTGTGCTCAGATTAGAGACATCTGGATGACTTCTGGGGAGATCTCAGCTTTCTTAAGGCACAGCAGCATCAACAAGAGTGCACAGGCTGCCTTAGGAGGCCCTGTACAGCTCAGAGATAACTAAAACACTTGGAGGTGTCTTTTCAGTAGAAAAATATGTAAATGAAGAGCTGTACCAGATATTCTAACATGTATAAAGGCAGTCCAGTGCCTGCTTATAGAGGTTCGTGCATGCTTCCAAGAGGTCTGACTAATTAAATGTGCAGAAATATTTAATGAAGTCCATAAACCATTACACTGAAGTAATAAACTTCTCCTAGAGCTGTGTAGTGCTGAACATCTGTTGCACAGGGTTCTTGGCATGTAGATGCTGTTTCTACATAAAGCATAAAATGTGGATAGGTGAGATTTCCAAACCTGGCAGGAGCTTTTGGACACTCCTTATTTGAAATGAAGTCTTGGCCATGCAGGTATAGAAGGTGTATGTGCTGGTTATACATGTCAGAACTTTAGAGCAGCACCTTCTCCCATGCCCCAGGCATTTACCAAATTCAGGATGGAAACTCTATCAAAAATTCAGGTTAGTGTGTGGAGTTTGTATGAAGTTGTCATTATGCCCTGTAGTTCCTTAAATGTCCAGTCCCACGTGTTTTGCTTCTGTACCTGACACCCTGGTAGTAACTGATAATGTTGGTTGAACTTTGCATGTTCAAGTTGAACTCTGCATGATTTCTTGTTGTAGTTGTCTATTAAGATCTTTTACACTATGTTTATTTCTTGGTTTTTTTCCAGGCATCCTTTTAAAGTGCCTTTTCTGCAAAGCTTCCTTCTGCAGGAGACATTTACTGTTGACAAAAAGCAAAAGCACTATTTCATGGAAACAAAAGTTTTGATAAATGGAGTGGAGGAAACAGTTCAGACTCTCATACTTGGTTATCAACCTGAAAACCCCTATGTGAGTTATCAAAAAACTTCCTTTAGTCTCATATTCCAAAACAAGATGCAAATGAGTGGTTTACTGCATATTACTTATGTTCCTTGCATTTTCTCTCAAAATTCTTTTTAGATTTGTGCTGGCTTAACTCATCCTTATAACATTAGGATATTTCCCAAAGATGTTGAAATGTGCATTTTAACTCTAAGTCATCAAAATGTGAGTAAATTTCCCATTAGACTCATTTAGGAGACATTCATTACCTGTTTATTTACACTTTATTGTCTTTTCAGACTTCACTTGCTATAGGTCTTTAGTTTCTAGCCACAGAGCTGCTGCAACCAAATTGTTCAGAGGGTGATTATGTCCTTGGTACCTCCTTAATTTTGTAGACTAATATGTTGTGTAGTAATCTATGATAAGAATACTTCATATATTATTTTTAGAATATTATTATGCATGAGTGTTGTTAACAAAACAAGTACTGGGATGGAATGGATTCAGTGTTCTCACTTTATCTAGCTGTATCTATTCATCTTTCTTACCAAATGTAGCTATTTTTCCTCATTTTCTTTTCTTCTATTTTCCTCATTTTCTTCCTCATTTTTCTCATTCTTCTTCCTCATTTTTCTTTCTGAGCCAAAGCATAATAGATTGAAACTGTTTCATTTTTCATAATGTGTAGGCATGGCTTCTCTGATCTTTCTTTATACACAGGGTTAATACTCAGTGCACTCTGCTTACTCCCATTCTTAACACACAGGTGAAGCACGAGCTTGAGACTGTCCTAAAGGTGAATAAGGAAGATGTTCTCAGTTTTCTAGGGAGGTATCAGGACAAATCCGGTGAGGCAGATTTTAGACACCTTTTACACGTGGATGTGACACACTCGTTCCAGGTACTGATGGGTTTAATTTTTGGTGTTTTTTATGTCTTGGTGACTGTTTTACTGTGTTGTCTTTAGAATTATAATTGTTTGATTACAATTATAATTGTTTGCTAAATGTCCTGAACCAATCAAGTCCTGGCCCTGACAAATAACTGTAGGTGTCTCAGTATGTTCAGTTATGTATCTATAATTTCTGTCAATAATATCTTGTAAGGCACACATTGACCTTTTTTCATGCTTTTTTTACTACTTTCAATATGTTTTTCAGTATCTTGTGATATAACTGGTAAAAGTTGATACCACATTTCCTTATATGCATCACCCACTTCATGCTAGAAGTTCAGACATTAAATCACGTGAGGCAGTTGTGGGGAATGCAGTGCTCTCTTCTGATACTTTACTTTGTCAAATAGCTTGAGTTTCCACAAGCAGTGGCCCTAAGCGGGGAGCTGTTCTCCAGGCAGACTGAACTGGAACACTTAGACTGTGGTGTGAGTGTAAAAGCCATCATCAACAAGAACATCTCTTCACAGGTCAGTCCCCTGGTCATTACAGTCTTGTTGCTTGAACTTGAAGCTTTTGCATTTCATACACTCAGTGACTATACTGGACAGGTGTAAATTGTTAGGGAAACAGTTAACTTTTGATGGTTAGAGTTTGTTCTGGCTAGATAGTTACATGGGGTTGGAACAGTTGGCTTGTATTTTGGCTGAAATTCAGAAAACTCTTAAAGTCTAGTTAAATTGTACTTAAAATTCAGTGTAGCTCACATTTTGTTGCGCCAGGGTTGGAATAAAGACAGGGATATCACATACCCATTACCTTCACAGACAAAACAGACTCAACATAGGCAATATTAATTTAATTTATTGCCAAATAAAATTAGTCAGATGATGAGAAACAAAGATGAGAACTAAAAACTGCTTTCCCGCTTTGCTCCCCTCTCTGCTTTTGTCCAGTCCCAGCTTGTTGTCTGCAGTCTCATTGCTCAGACTGATGTTTCAGTATTGTGTATGATAATCTGAGATCCTTAAAGACCTGCTCTCCTTTTTCTCTGTGTGCAGGCCCAGGCAGCCCTGAAGAGTTATGGTGAAAACAATGTCAATGGCTCCCTTCACCTTCATTCCAATGGAAGGGAAGTGCTGATGCTGGAGGTCGATGTGAACAATGAAAAGAGGAGGAATGCCAGAATTGTTGAACTGAGGGCTTTTCTCCATCAGACAGTCCTGACAAATCCAGAATCAGTACAGTTCCAGCTCATGGGCAAAATATTTCCATCAAGGTAGAGAAATCACAATGTTGGTTAATTGAGGAACTAAAGAGTGTTCTGGGATACAAATTTAAATGTAACTACTTTCCTATGGCTGCAGCAAGGCCGCTGAGTAAATGCCAGTTCATGTGTTATCCCTATTGTTGAAATACTTTTGCTCCCTATGTTTCATAAGTTGATACAAGTTGTGTTAATGTGCTCTAGCTGCTTTCCAAGGACTTTGTATAGAGAACTTTGAGTGAACAGATAGTACAAGTTATGCCAGTGGAAAAGGGCACTTCCCAGTGTTTATTATAAGGTTTTTAAAATATTGGAGAAAGCTCTGAGGTGGCAGAGGTGGGAAATACAAATTTGGCCCTCCAAGTTTCAGCTGATTTTTCAAATTTTACAAATACAAAAGTATGCAGTGAAGAATTTTAGAATTTCTGCAGAGGTCCCAGTGTTTACCAATTGGATGGGATAAGGAGAATAAGGAAATAAGAGTTAAAGAAATCAGAAGTTACTACAATTTAGATGAAGCACATTAGATTTATTAGTGACACGAATAATAAGATAAAATGTTCCAAGAAAGGTATTTAATGTAGTTCTGCAGTATGCTTGCAGTTTTGGCCTTCCAGTAGTGCATTAATTTGTTTAAATACCAGGGTAAGCCACAAGAGAGCAATTTATTGCAGTTCACAGGAAAGAAAACAGAACACTTAAAATTTTTGGAATGATGATTTGTTTAGGGTTTGTTTTACAAGGAGAATACAAACAAAAATAAACTGTTGAGTGTTTCTGGAGAACAGCTAAAAGGATGCAGTCTGTACAGACTGCAGTTGCTGACTGAGGCAATAAACCTTACTTCCCTGACTACGTAGTTTTGTTCTTCCCATGGAGTGGATTTTCACTGAGGTTTTGCTTGTCATCAGTCTTTCAACAGGGTTCCAATTTCTAGAAGGGATGTCTAACACTACGAAAACTGGACTGATTGCTTCACTTTTAGGTATTTTGTGTAATATACTTCAGTCTAGAAAGTCAGATAGTTCAGTGGATAGTTTGTTAAAGGCCATGTGAAAATTGTGTCTCAGTCTTATACTTACAACACAAAAAATTTTGTTGCTCCAGCAAGTTTCCCTGAAAAGCTGTGCCACTTTTCTCCAACAGTCTTCAATTCAGGGCCAAGATGCACAGAAATATTGTTGTTTCATTTACCAAACTCAAATGATGGTCACACTTAGAATTATTTTTTAAACTGAATTCTCAAGTGCTGCTTTTAAAGCAGCACCAAAGATCTATTTCATATTGTGACAGAGAAGGCTTAGTTTCCAACTCAAAGTCTCTCCAGCTCTTTCTTTTATTAGGAACCATAACAAAAGCATTCAAGAAATTTAAAGAAAAAATTAGTCTGCTAATCTGTAAATCTTTACTGAGGAATTTATAAACATCTGGTGAATAGCGTGTGCTGACTGCAGGGCATCTGATTGCCTGATTCACAACACTGGAATGAGTGTCCAGAAAATCTAAGGATGGAGACTCCAAACCTGACCACACACACTCCTGAGCACCCTGCTCTCATTGATCCTGCTTTGAGTGAGGAGGGGTGTCTTGACAATCCTGAATCAACCATAATAATATCTTACTAGCAATTTTTATGTCTGTCTTTTTAGACTTCTGTTGTCTTCCAGCTTGAAGCTTAATGAAAATAGGCTTCACATGGATTTCATGGGAGCCAGGGAGCAGAAAGCTGGTTTTGTTTTGTCCCTAAATGGAAGAGTCCAACACACTTTTACTGGATTAAAGGCTATACCTCATCTCCTTTCTCTGGATGGATTTCTGAAGTGCAAAAACAACATTCATGATGGTACTCTGTTCCTTTGTGTTTTGTTCTAACCTGCAGCTACCTAAGGACGCTGCTTAATTTTAATGTAATCCTTCCTGAGCTGCACAATGTACTCAGCTCTGGGCCCCCAACAGAAGAGCAATGTGTTCCTGTTGGAGTGAGTCCAGAGCAGACCACAGAGATGATCAGAGGACTGGAGTCCCTCTGCTCTGGAACCAGGCTGGGAGAGTTGGGGTTGTCAGCCTGGAGAAGGCTCCAGGGAGACCTTAGAGCTCCTTCCAGTACCAAGAAGGCTGGAGAAGCACTTTGGACAATGGGGAATGTCTTCAAACTGACAGAAGACAGGTTTAGATTGGATATTAGGAAGAAATTCTTGTAAGAGTGATCAGAAAATGGAACAGGTTGCCCTGAGAAGCTGTGGATGCCCTGTCCCTGGAAGTATTCAAGGCCAGGCTGGACAGGGCTTTGAACAACCTGGGACAGTGGAAGGTGTCCCTGCTCATGGAAGAGGAGTTGGAACAAGATGGGCTTTAAGGTTCTATCCTGAACCATTCTGTGATTCTGTATAATGCAGAGCAGAGTATTTGGCATGCAAAATGAACCATGGGTCATTGGGCTGAGAGTATTTTTCAGCGAACTAACATAGTTTGGATTTTTCATGTTTTCATGGATTAAAGGAAATAGTGGGTGGCCTCTTTTCTCTTCTGAAATGTGGGGGCTGACTTGAGATTCCTACTCCTTTGAATGGCTCCATGGGTGGAGTAGATCACTGCAGAGCTCTGCAATTACACAAGTAGTAGGTCACAATCCATCTGTAAATTTTCCTTCAGAGGGACTGCAGTATAGTACCTGGCCTAAGGGCACAAGCAGCTTGGTGAATAAAAAGGAACAGCTGCCAGAAATACTGTTATGTAATTTGTTTTAGACACAGTCACTAGTAGAGAAACCCTCAAACACTGAACTGCTTTGCTCTCTAAATTAGGCAAAATTATCTAATGTGATAAATGGAAATTCTTCTACTTCCTCCTGATATTACATTAATTGTTAATTTATACATTACTCCTAAAACTGTGTCTATTTCTCCTAAGAAACTCTCCCCACAGTAACAATTTCTGTCTGTTACAGGTAACATCAATGTGATGGTCAACAAAAGACTGTATGGACTGCATGTCAGGAACAGGAATGTGTTTGGGAATACCACTGTCCACAATATCACTGTTGCCATGGTTCAGAATGGCAGTCAGGGAATCCCAGGGGAGGCAAGACTGAAAGGACACCTGGAACTGAGTAAAGAGAAGAAAAGGGGGCTAGCTAGCTTCCAGGTGGATGAGAAGGCTCTTTCTGTAGATTTTTTCAATATCATGGATCGTGGGCATGGCACAGTCAGTGGGACTTTCACACATAATGTCAACTTTTTAACAGATGCAGGTAGGAAGAAAATCTGACTTGATGATATGGTCTTACAAGGTGAATTTACCTAAATGATTGCTGACCAGTGGAAACAGATGAGTTGTGTTTGCTCACACCAGAACAAAATGTCTTCTAGTCTTAGCAGCATTCTTTTTAGTATTGTTGAGAAAATACCATAAAAATGACCCAGAAATAGTTCAAAGAGTTTTGAAATACTTCAGAGGAAATTATTTCTCTCTTGTACATCTGTGTTCTTGCACAGCATCTAAACTGACCAGTTCCTCTGAGTATACTTATAATGCCAAGTGTTGTTTCCTAAGCTAAGCCATGGATTTTCATAAACTGGAGTTATCGGTAATTTTGCACGGGTTTCTTTGCACAGAATAAATCTTTTTTGAATTTTTTGACAGCTGACTACTGGAGTTGAACACAATACCAATTGGTAAATATCCTTTATTAAGAAAAGGAAAGTTCTTGATTTCCGAAGTGCATGCCACATTTTAATTTAGCAGTCCCTTTTCAATATGATTTTAACCTGTAAGGTAATGTCCTTCTATAAATATCAGTAAAGTGATCATACTTTATATAAAGGTGTGTCTTTTCTTATGAAAAATTACAGAAGGCTTCTTTTGATCTGTAGTGCATCTTCTCTGTAGTCTGTAATGACAACCCAGAAGTGCTATGTTGATTTTACTTCCTTCCCTGTCAATAGGGTTGCCTTTGGATGGCAGTCTTACTGCCACATGTGAACGTGACACAGGAAATCACACCATTGCCATAGCCCTGCAGAGTGGCAGTGAAAGGATGGTTGCTGTGTTTGAGGGGCACAGAGTGACCACAGAACCTCCCACATCCCAGGTATCTGTGAGCTTAAAGCACAACATCTCAAAGATAAAGAAACATGGGATCCCTTTTGTTTTAGAAGCTGCTGGCTATTATGAGGTAAGAAGAGTTCTGCCTGTGAAAGTTCAATTTCTGGCAGGACAATTTGTGTATATGTGATAATTCTAGACTTTTCCTGTGCACTCTATATATTTATTCTAGAAGCTGCTCTGTTTTTGAGATGTACTAAATTCCTGAGTGAAAGAAAGGTGTTGTCTGGCTCCTTGTCATACTGTGGACCTGTCATCTGAGCTCTTGGAGCTGAATCTAGACTAAATGAGATGCTACATTCAGTTCTCATTTAAGTGAAGATTTTGCTGCATATGAACATATGTCTTGTCCAATTTTATCTTCCCCCTGTAAATGGGAAGTGGACCAGCAGGCCTAAGGCTTGCATCTGGTACTGGATTTAACTGGTCTTGGTGTCATCCTTTAGATGGCTGCTAAAGAGCAGAAAGTGTTTAGCATGGCTTTCCCTTTGGAAATTCCTACCCACAGAAGCATTATGGACCATGATTCCTGGTATGGTGTTGCTTGGCTGCTGTTCTCTCTATCTGCATTTCTGCTGTAGATCTGTGAGTGTTACAGCTCTTTTGCATTGCAGATTATCATTCCATTAAAGAAGAGTTCAAATACTTCGCTGTCTCAGACATCCACTGAAAGGCTCAAGTCACTCACATGCTTATATTTGGGTGGCTTCAACCACTGTGGTAGGGTGAGACACAAAGGTGAAAGAATTTTAATAGTTCCTTTGTCTTGCTTTTTAATAGTTCCAGTGCTTTAATTGTTTGTGCCTGTGGGCTCAAATCCTTCAGGGTACTGAATGCTCTCATATGTTTTGAAGCCAGAAAGAATTATTGATATGCTGCATTTAGAAGGTCTGGCATAACTGCAATCTCTATTTGAAATGAGGATGCCTTGATGAATTTGCATTTTTATTTTACCAGTGCTGCCACCCTGACACAGACTGTGGTGTTTAAGCACAGTGCAACATACTCTGCCTTTCCCACTTGTTGCTGGGATGTCATTGTTTGTTTCTTTCCATGATTTGGTTTCTTTTGTGCATAGAATTTCTCCAGAAAGATTGCTGCGGGGATAACAATCACAGTGGAGACAGAGCAGCTCAAGATTGAAATGGAGAAGAAAACTACTGACACTGCTATGAAAATTTCTCTTTCACTTCACCATGATGTGGGAGGACTGATGGACATTGTTCCACATGTACTAGAGGTTTGCAGAAATCCTGCCATTTATTGTAATGGCACTAAACTGTTTATCTTTTTGAAACAGAACTCTAACCTTTAATCTATGTTTTGGTGCCTTCATCTATTTGATCCTTAAAGTAGCCTTGTAACTTGCTCCTCTGAATTTTAGTCCTCCCTGCTTTTCTTCATTTTCTGAGTGTGCTTTGTTGACAACATCAACAGGTTGCTTGCGGTGGAGAATCTGCTAACAAACAACTTTCTGGCCTTTGCAATGGTGCAATTGCATTTCATCATTTTGAGGTACTTGCTTCATTTATAAACCTTGCTCTCAACAGCATAGTGTCTTAACTACTATGGAGAGAATAAGTACTGAAAGTGTCGGACATGTAGAAATGGATTTGAGCTTCCTGGAAGTTTTGTGTGTACTTTCAAGTATTTTCATTAATAATTGGTTTGGGTTTTCTTCCTGTTATTTCTATTCTCCAAAATAAAAATTTGAGTCCTTCTCGCCATTTGTTTCATAATTTATAATTATGTAGGATAAATACAAAATGGTGTAGGGAACTGTTCTCTCCTAGTAATAGGAGCTTTTAAAAACAGTATGTGACCTGACAGGAACGCAAACTTGACCACAGTTTTCTGTAATTTTTCAGACTCCAGCAAGAATTTCACTGAATGGGTCAATATTTACCAGCAACTTTACTGTCATCCTCTTTGGACATGTTTCTTTTCATGATGTATTTGCCTGCCTACAACTCTATGCCACCTGTAACACTCATCCTCATTTAGAAATTGACTTCCAGCATTCTTTGCCTTCACTTCATTCTCTGGGAATTGCCAGAGAGAACCAGCTGAAGGTGTCAGCCATGAGAAGTGACAAGTACAAGGGCATCCTTGGTGTTGTCCTTGGGCCTTGCACTTTGGAAGCTGATGGGGAAGTGAGCCTGGCAAGCAATGAGACACGATGGGTACTTACTTTTAGAAACAAGTGCGTCAGTTTAGAGGTAAGCCCAGATTGTTTTCTGCATGCCCTTCCAGTCTGTGTATTTCTGATCACTGAGTCACAGAAAACTGTCTCCTCACACATTTATGGATAGGTCAGATTTGGTCATTAAAGTTCTGACAGAGCAATGAGTCAGAGCATTTGCAGAGGGAAGTGGTAATTTGGAGTAATACAATGGTAGGTGTTACTGCTGTTGCCATGAAAATGTTGCTTAATAATAGTTTATTAAGTAAAATAAACTTTTGTCCTGAAATCTAGAGACAAGCATGTCCTTTCAGTTTGGAATTGTTGAGGTTAAGATTTTTTCTTCTACATTAATTATGAAAAAATTATTCAAGGATTTATTCTTCTTTCCCCCCTCCCACCCATTTAGCTTTTTTTCAGGTTTTTCACAGAGAAATTTCTGATTTCTCTATGAAACAAACTGTCTTGTGTGGTCTTTTCCAAACACAGATTGTTTCAGAAAGGAGGAATGCTTTCTTATGAATTTAGAACAAATGAGAAGACAGTTGCTTTGCTTTATGTGTTTTAAACAGTGCAATCTTTTCTGTTGCAGAGGATGGGATTGCCTCGTGCTGCAGTCTTGGGGGGCTCATTTCAACAGAACATCTGCAACGTGGGCTTGTTAATGAACCTGCAGTGTGATGGCAGAGCAGTGGATGTGCAGATAGACACCTCCTGCCAGCATGAATATACACTCCAAGGGATGCTCAGGCATTCATTTCCCTGGCTCAGCCAGCTTGGGCTGCCTTTTGAAAACTCAGTCTTGTTCTCTGCAGCCACAGACTCCACCACAGAGGGCATTTTCCTGCTGCAGGCTGGCAGATGCACGCTGAGGGCTAGAGGGGATCTCTGTATTCAGAATAAAGCTGACTGGACACTGGAAACAGAAACAGAATGTCAACTTCTGCAGGTAGCTCTGGGAAGCTTTTAAAGAGAGTTTGGGGATCATATGAAGGCCTTGTGGGTTTTAGCTAACGTGACACTGCTGGAGCGTTGGGAAGGCACTCTGAAGGCACGCCTGTCCCACAGCATCAGGCAAAGGCAGCGTCTCACACATCCTGTCCCAGGTGCTCACTGGAGACTGAGATCAGTTCAGCCTTTGCTGACTGCTGCCTCCGCAGGCCGACACTGCCCTCTAAGGCTGAACAGCAATATTAGCCTCACATTCCCTGGTCTGTGAGGATTATATCAACAGGGAACTTCCTTTTTTTTTTCCAGTTAGCCTCACTGACTACATTGGAAAGAGTGACAATTACAAAATCTGGGCTTTTTTCCTAGATGTTCACAGGCATTTATATTTTGCTTTCAAATCCCCAAACTGAGTAACTTCCTCAATTACAAAGTGGCAATATAAAAATGACAGCAAAGTTATAGTGAAAAGGGAATGAAAACCCCTTAAAGTATTAAAAAATACTATAAATTTCAGTGTTTTTAGAAATCCTTTGACCAAATGGGAAGAAACCTTTCATTTGGGATGTTATACAAGACAAGCTGGAAGTTTAATTATTAAAAAAAACAAACCTTCTGCAACCAGGTGAAAGAATGTCTGTTAGGCCTATGAAATTTTTATACATTAATTTGTATGAAAACTGAGATTGGTGTGGTCTGGATGAAGCATAGAATGTTTAGTAAACTTTGCCAATCTGAAGAAACAAGTATTTTGTATTTTTTGTAAATGTAAAACTTGGTAAAGATGCAGAAGTTGTGAATTCTGCAGGATAGTTCTTAATTCTTTCATCATGCCCTATTCAGGAAAAATCACCATCTTTCTTGCTGAGGGGGAGAAAAATGGCAGCTTGGAGATTGTAGGTTTTGTCTCTGATACTGTATCATATAATACACACTTGTCTTAAAGTGTTTGTATGTTCCAAAGGATTTTTTGTTTAAATCTTGACAGGATCTCAGTTTCCCAACTCAGTCACGGCTCACAGGATCCTTTCAGAAAGACAAGTGCCAGGCAGAGCTGCTCTCTGTCCTGGAAACAGAAGGCAAAACTGCCCGTCTTGAAGTGAGAGCAGAGTGCAAGCCAAAGATGGCTCTGGAAATTCGATTCAGGCATGACCTCCCCCAGCTGAAGGAAATCCCAAGGGAAAATGAGCTGTCCATCACTGCACGGAAACACTTAAAATATCTTCTTGGAGTTGGAATGAAACTGGGTGCCTGTGAGCTTCAAATGAATGGGGACTTTGACCCTGAAAAGAACCTGCAGTGGAAAATGCTTATAGAAAACAAATGCCAAACAATTCAGGTATGGAAAAGAATTTTCTCCTTTAAGGTTGAATTTATACATCTAAGCTATGACCTTTGTACCTGCTAAAGTCAAAAGACAATCTAAGTATTTCAAAGAGGTAGCAGAGAAAGAAGAAAAAACATTCTCTTTAAATGTTGCATCGTACTTCTGGAGCAAGTAATTCACTGTATTTTCTTATGGCATACACCAGATTTTCTTTTAATCAGTACCTGCAGATAGTGGATTTGCTTGTACTAGCTCTGATATGTTTTCTAAAACATGGTTGAGAAATCTGCAGGGTTTTTCTGTTCAGAAATAATGATTATTCAAAGTTGTCTTTGGCTTTATCAGCAGTTACAGTTTCTCAGCAGTTTGAGAAACAAACTCTGAAATAGTCTTAAAATATATGAAGTAAATAGATAATCTTCAGGTCAGAAAATTCAGTGTATGAAAAGTTTGAGAGACATGTGATCACATTATGATCTGTGGATTCAATATGAAAGTCAGGGTAAATCTGAATATACAAAGATGAAATTCACTTGCCCTTTCCCAAAAACAGAACTGCCATAATAAACTTAGGTATACTGTCTGATTTCACTGAATTTATGGATGCTTTGGGTCACTGGGACAATGCCAAGCATAGAATATCAATTAACTTTTCATTTAGGTAGGAAGAGCAGCCACATTGTCCAGTGTTCTATTTATCCTAACTCATTTATCAAAAATAATTAGGCATATTCAAAATAAAAAAGACAGCATTTATAAAATGTATTAAAAAGCTCTCAAGATTTCTGAAACATCCTTTGCCTATGCTGCCTGATATACTTGATTTTACAGCTAGGTGATTAAAGTTACTATTAGAGCTATAATGTATTTGTGGTTAAGTGCAAAAGTGGTGATTTGTAGAAGTTTTTTCTTTCTTTTACAGGATATTGGAGCACCAATGAAAATTGATGGCTCAGGCCATCTTTTGATGGATAAAATGAACCTAGATTCACAGACACTGATCACTGTTGATGAAAGTAAATTCCGAGGACTCTTTATACTAAAAGTCACTGATGTGAGTACCCTGCAGGCTGTTGGAGTATGTGAACAAAGTGCTGGGTAATGTACTTTAACCTGTGTTATTTGGAACAAATAGTCAAGCTTAAGTAATAAATGCCAGAATAAAAATTAAATAATAAAATGTTTGAAAATCTGGCACCTTCAATGTGCAGTAACCGATGCCTAGGATAATAGGATATAGACTCTGGCACTTCCTGAATAATTTCCTTGTTATGTTCTTTGTGTGTACATTTTTGTTGTTTGTATTCTACTGTCTTTACATCACTGTGATTTACCCTGCAAAATAATAGGCAGTGATTAATTGAGACACTGCTGTTTGTTTATTCAGTGAGACAGCAACACAGGGAAGGCTGTGAATCTCATGCTTTTCTGTTGACAATTATAAGTTTGGATTCTCTTGTCATCAGAGCAAGAGAGCAGAGAACAACACAAATACCTCTTTCCTCAGGATGTTTCACTTTTCTGCCATAACTGGTAATTTCTGTATGTTTCTGTGCCATAGAGAAACAACATAGCTAGTGGGAGTTTAATTCATGTTAAATGTAGGACAGACAGATTTCTGGTTTGAGCTCTGTATTGCAGTGATCTTTGGGTTCTACACATGCTTTGCTCTCTGTGCTGTGAAATATTAACAGGAAAGGCAAGAGCTGGATGCAGTGCTAACCCATAACATCCAAGGAGCTGCTGACTTTGGCATTCCCATGAGGATGTTACTTGATGTGATATCAGAAAAAAACAGTGACTTCTATAAAGGATTTATTCATTTCTGTGTGAACAACAAGCAAGTAAGTGTCTTCTCCATATCAGTAATATGTGAAATAGAAGTTGAAGTGAGCTAATTGATTTGGTAAATATTGTTTCTGCAGACAATCCCAATGCAATACTTTGCTGGGGCTGGGTTAGTTCTAAAGGCCTTAATTAAATGAAGGCAGTATCTTTCAGCCAGTCCTTCTGTGCAATTGCTCCTTGCAACAAATTTGACATCAGCAATGATCCTTGACTCTCGTTTGTAAATTATATCAAACCTTCCTTATCAAGAATCTTCACTCGGTGCAGCATATTCCCTTTTACAGTACAAAGCTGTGACTTCTAACAAAATTAGACAGTTCTTCACCATAAAGTTTTCATAGTCTTCATAATTTTATTCTAATGTGTAATTAGTCCAATGATTATGGTTATTCAGAGAAGTCTCCATGTCAGAGATATGCCACAGTTAACTTTTGTCATATTTACTTGAACTGAGCAGATTACAGAAGAACTGAACTTTGTCCAGAAGTTGGATGTTGTGTCTCTTAATTACAAACTTACTCATAACATAGACACATTGAAGACTTTGCAAATAAAAGACAAGATTGAGTTGCAGGTAGGTTATCAACCTGGAGCCATGGCACAAGAGGGGGACAGCAGCTGGGGAGGTGAGATGGCAAAGAGCAGCGGGTGTAGATGGGACTTCACACATTTGCTGTTTTGGTGAAGGGGAGTCCAGGTGCTCCTTTTGTTCTTGATGGGAGTTCAGAAGCTCAGTTTGTTCTCAGCTAGAGAACAGTTATTCTCCTGTTCTCAACAGAGCAATAGTTTAGACCAGGACTTTCCACAGGCCTGGGGCTGGAGGTTGTTCCCAATGTGGAGTGAGAGGAGGGCACTGCATTTGTGTGTCTGACATGCTGCAGTGTCATCCCTGTGTCATCCCTGTGTCCCCTGGATGCACAGGGCAGAGGGGAGCACTGCTGGGATTTCACTGAGTCCTTTCCAAATGGTATTTTCCTTCTGAACTCTGATTACCTGGCATATATTTTTAATCTGAGAAACACAAGACTTATTAACCATGTAACTGAATAGCATTAAAACATGGCCATACATGAGAATACATCTTAAATGGTTGAATTCTAAAATAAAAGGGACATTTATAACTATTTTATGTTATAAAATGATACAAGATGCATCTTTGACACATCTTTGAGATTATACTGTCTCAACCAAAGAAAGAGCCCTGACCAGCAGGAGCTTTAACTTATACAATTCTGTCTTTTCACAATTTACTTTTGTTGCACACAGGCTATCTTGAACCTCAGAGTCACCAGGAGCTTTAGTTTGAAAGCGCTTTATGGTGCTCACCTAACAGTTCTTGAAGGACAAATTCAAGAATTTGAAACAATTACCAACATAACAGGGAATTTCCATCACTCTTTGCCATGGCTGCAGCAAGCCAGAGTCCCATCATCTTTACAGGTAGTTTTGGGGTTTTGTTTGTTTGTTTTTAATTATAATAATTGTCCTGTATAAGGATGTAATTCAAGCTCATGGCTTGAATGACAACTCCCGTTTTGTAAGGTACAGGATGAAAGCTGAGATTTTCTGATATTTAGAAACTGTGGATGCCTAAAACCTGAACTACTGAAAGTTTCTCCTTGACTGCTTTCTGAATGAGATTCTTCCATTCTGATCAGTGGTGGTAGAGTGGGCACTGTTGATATTGTAACTCTGCAGGACAGCTTGAACACATTGCACCAGGGACTGGAGTATTGCTCCTATGCTCTTTAATAGGAATTTTATACTTAAAGAAGTATTTCTTTGCATGCTATTTTCAGAGAAGTATTGGAGTACCTACTGTCTGGTAAATATTGTCAGTAGGAGTATATGAAGTTTCTTTTAGAAGAAGGAAGTTGTGTTTGTGGGATAAAAAAGAACCTAATGAAAATTTGCCATAGATCAGTGAGGCTGGCATGGCTTGACATTCATTCAGTTGAATGAGCTTCATACTTGAAAGTTAAAGATGATTAATGAAAGGCCAAGAGACATTTTGTTAATGGATAGATTTTGACATAATTGTAGACTAGACAGAACTTTCTTTCACTTCCATTTTCTCCTGTCTTAAAACAAAGTAGTATTTAAATATTATTTTGAGAACTTATATTTACATGTCATTTTTAGATAGATGTGGTCTTTCAAGGGAGAAACACTACTCAAGAGAGATATGTGCACATTGCAGCTGGAGAAACATCTATCACGTACATAATAAACTCCTATTATGTTGGCCACCAAGTGGATCTCTTCTGCCAGAGTGTGCACAGCAGTGAGGTACTCCAGGCATCAGGCTACCCTAAGGCAATCAACTTGATTTTCAGTTTACAGAAATCAGGTGGGTACCTGCCATTCCTGGCAGGGTTTTTATTCTCTAATAGCTCTATGAGGATGTTTCAGCTGTTCCTTCAACAGCTACAAACTGACTAAGATTTGCTGGTAGTACCTAAAAAGAGGCTTTATCTTGCTTGTAAGTAAACTTGTCTTTCTGAAACTGCATCTGTGATTAGCTGATTGAGCCAGTCTACCCTCAAAGTTTGCCCTGGCATAAATCCTATCTGCATTTCTCTCTTACACTGTGATCAGGTACCTTAAGTGCCCCCAGGGGAATATATTCATGTTGAAGAAAACAATTGTGAGAGCACCAAAGGGCAGGAGTTACTGAGGTTAGCAGGCACTGAATCAATACTATGTGAATGGCATCATCTCTTTTCACCTGTTCAGGAAAAAGCAACAGGACGAGAGGTCGTTCTCAGGACAGCCACAGTCACCATGTGATTTCCACCACAAGCCCACCATTTCTGTGGGTTTTGTCTTATCTTAAAGAATTTACAGGGTTTCACATTTCTTATCTCACTTTGATCTTCTCATATTTTCCTTTTCAAAAATGAAAATCTGGTAGGGCAGTGGGGAAAGGTCTTCAGGTCATGTTCTTTGGGCATTGTTGAGCTGCTGCAGCTAGAACCAAAGGAGTCACTGGAGGTCTGAAGAGCTCAGATCTCTTCCCTGGAAGAGGCTGCTGCAGGCCAGGGATGCAGTTGGCTGCATGGATTAGTCAGCTCTAGCTGCACAAACACATTCTTGACAGGAACTAACTTGCCACTTAACACTGGATGTGGGTGCACAAGCTCTGTTACCACAAGACTTTGTAAGGACATCCAGAAAAACTCTGCCCTCCTCCAACCACAGGCTGAAGTTCTTGTAATCCTGAATGATGACTTTGTCTTGATGAATGTATTAAGCTAAAAGCTGGCTGGGTTGATTTTATGCAGGCAGTACTGAAATTACTCAAAATTTAGCTGCTCAAATTGGCACTATTTTGTCCCTTCTGTATAGAAAACAAAGCCAAGACTGTCTGTGAAATCCAGTATGATGAGAAAGATATAACTGTGACTGTGGATGTTGACACAGACTTTGAACTCTTTGGTATATTTGTGTTCATGGCAGAGGTGAAGCATTCAATATCACTTTTCCATCATCTGGGACTTCCCTTCTTTCTTAAGGTAATGCACCACAAAACTTTTGCTGTGCTTTGATGAAAGCTGTCACTTGAGTTACATTTGCATTAATCCAGAGCACTTCCAGCGGCCTCAGTGAAATTACTCCAGGTTTATATGTAAGTGCAGCTGAGAGCTGACTTGGCCCAGTTTATCTGAATCCTCATTTAACTTAAGTACAGAGCTAGTGGTCTGTTTCTAAGGAACCTGGTCAGGCACCTGAAATCCCCATTTTCAGGGTTAATTATTTCAGGAAGGCATGTATTTACTATCACTTTGCAGCTGATAGGGCTCACAAAAGTAGAAAGAACTTTTGGTAGAAAACAGCTGTTCTTCATACCTAGAGAACTCCTTGCCTTGGTTAAACCACTTGTAGCACAAATACCTAAAATGCTTCAGTGTTGAATAAACAGAAGTATATTTATGTTCCAAACTACTTGATAGGATAAACAAAGGCTGTGTTTCTTTATCCCTTGGGAGAAAGAAGCATTAGTTGAAATGTCCCCTTCCCTTTTGAAGGGCAGTACACAGAAAAACACTTCCAAGTGATCCACCACCTTCTCTTCAAATAACAGGACATGTAGCTAGGATGCAAGAGTAAAAGTCAACATAAACATTAGATCAATATTAAATCTGCATATTAAGTATCAGTGTTTCAAGGGAATATTTACTACCAACCTTTTATTGAAAGATATAAGATATTTTCACTGCTTCTTCCCCATTAATATTTAGTGAAATGTCTTTTATCCTCTAAATGTTTGAATGAAAAAAAGAAAAGCAGAGGTGGTAATTCTTGAGGTGCCTTATTAATTTATAAGGTATGAGTATAACCAGGGGCCTTCACAGATTACAGTTCCCACAGACTTTGGCAAATACCAGTGCTGCTGTTGAAGTGTGGGAAATGGCCCTCAGCTTTCCCAGAGAGATTCTTTAGCATTTTCAGGATAAGGCTATAGATGATGCAGCAGCTGTGGGAGAAATGCCCTGGAGCAAAAAATCGGTGGAACCTCCTCTGTTTCTTTTAAAAAAAAATAAAAAGAAAGCACAATTTCTTTCTGGTATAAGAAACATGAGATTGTGGGAGACATAAACAAGAACCAGTAGCTTTAGACTTAAACCAAATAAGAGTACATTGAAAGTAACACTAGTATTTGTCAATAATGCAAATGAGTAGCTATGGAAACACACACCCAAAAAATGAAAACCTCTCATGAGGCTCTTGGTTTACATGTAGGAAGCATCCAGAAGGCCTGTCTGGAAGATAAACTTCAGTCAAGATGATGGCTTTAAGTGAGTCAAGAGATTGTGCTCATTTGAAGTGAAATGATGGGTAGAAATTATGGCATGTGATTTGTTTATTTTCCCTCTCCACAGATGACAATTCAAGAAGTCATGACTGAAAATGAAACTGAAGGTGCTTTGAGGCTGACCTATGAACAAAACAAAAACTTCTCCTTTTCCATCAGTAGGAAAAAAGACCAACAAGGGTAAAAGGGTCATTCTGAGCTCTGTAAAAAATGTCATTAGGCCACTGTGATTTCCATGGAATATAGTTACTGTATTAATAACCAAATCACTGGTGAAATGGATAACAAAACTTGGATAAAGTGAGTAGTCACACCAAACACTCTGTAAACCTCAGGGAGTTTCTGAAGGGCTGCAGACAGATTCTTCCCTTCACAGCCTGGGACCTGTCTCTGCCTACCCACACAGAATCCAAGTAGCAGACAGTGAAAGAGTCTGCAAAACTCTAGACCTGGACCAGACAAGTACATAAAAATATAACTTAACTTGACATAAGTATTTAAATCTTATTAAATTGTTTTGGCACAGTTGAAACTTGTAAAATTATGGTGACTTGGTTTTCTAAGTTGGTGTCAGTATGGCTGTATCTGCACAAAACTGTAGGCTTTTAAGGGTGTTTAGAGGTGTGATATTTTTAGCCTTGGAATATTCAGATTTTTCTTAAGTTTCTAGCAAAAGACCTTTGCACTGAAAAGTCTTGTACGTTCTGTTAAAATCTCTAATCATTGTAAATTCTAAGTTTATAAACCATGACAGTGCTTGCAAAGTCAGAGTCCAAAATACCTTTCTCATTTTTAAAAAGCGGATGCATTTGCTATGGCAAAATGATTTCTGCTTCAATGGGCTACATTCTGTCCCTGGGATGCATACATAGATTTTTTATTGAGGTCATTTTGTGTGAATGTATCAAAAACTGGGAGCTGGGTTAAGTGTTCAGTGGCAGGTGCTGCCATTTTAACTCTAAAAGCTGTGGCAGACTTAGAGCTAACTCAGATGAACTTGTGCTGCCAGCAAGAGAGGACTTTGTAAAATATTGTTGAACAAGAGAACATTTCTTCCCTTTAGTGAAGAATTGAATATAAAAGCACTCCAGACTCATCCCTTCTTTCTACAGTACTTCCCCTGTGCAGCACAACTGTCTTCTAAGGTAACTATCTGCAAGAAATCCATTGTATCCATCACTGCAAAGTAGACTTATCTAATATGTTAGGAGTCAAGCTGCTTTATTTCTAGTTCTAGTATCTCTAACATTTTTGTTATTGTTGAGGATGTTCCTGTTTTTAAAGATGTTAACAATCCCAGTCTTTTCCTTTTTTTTTTTTTTTTTTTTAATTTAATGGGAACTTGAAAAGGTAAATTATGATATGAGTGAAGCAAAAGGCAAGCTCTACCTCAGGATGGAAAAAAGGGATTTCAACGTTTCAGCAAAGCTAACTTTGACTGGAAGCAGCTACACTAATGCCATTGAAGTGGCACAGACCATGGCCCAGGTTGGTACCATCCACTGATAGCAAAGGTGGGCTGTGACAGGAGGGCACTCAGGGGATGGCTGCCAAGCAGTGAAGGCCAAATGCATCTCCTGCTGTCTGAGGTGTTCTGCCCTTGATTTCTCCAGTAGCATGAGCAAACATTAGACTGTGGACTAGTCTGAGTTTATATTTGTTTGCTCCCATAGATGGAGCACTCATATAGGACTTATCAGAAATAAAAAAAATAATGTGCTACAAACAGAACCAGTTTCTATAATGCAGGTACCACACATTTCTTTCTCTAAATAAGAAAAGACATCACAAATACCTATTGTTGTTTGTGCTGTCTGCTGGATTTATTCTGTAATAGTGGGACTCTTGATGTTGTAAGGTTTATTCTGTGAGATAAAAGAAAATCAAACTGTATAATAATCAAAGACTGTTGTATAGGGAACACTCGGTTGTTTATGTATGTTCCATTATTTGCAAAGACAGCTTTCTGTAGAAATGAAGACAAGTAGAAATGAATAGTTGCTCATATGAGCAGTGGGCTTAGAGTATCATTGCACTAGACCTTTAAAAACACATTCCTAAAGACCCCACAGGACTTTGGGGTACCAAAATTACACTCAGGTTTTACCTTCTCCAAGAACTTGGGGTTTAATGTTTGCTCTCTTTTATTTTTAGTTAAAAATTCTTCCAAGGCAACTTGTGTTTATGACAATTTACCAAAAAGGCAACAGAACTCATCTGCTGAGGCACATTGCCCTGTGGGATGGCAAAGAGATAAAGCTAACAGGCACTTACACTGGACCCTTCCCAAAGCTGCCTGGAGGCCATGGCATTCAGGGTAGGTTTCTCAAGTCTTTCACAAGTGTTCAAAGCAGACTATAAAATAAACTACATAAATCTTATTTCAAAATGAATATTCAAAATGCATGTCCAAAGGGTTTCAATCCTGGTTTCAATTTAGGGCTTCTAAGGTCTTATTTGCTTTAAATTCATTATACATCTGGCTGTCAGAAACATCCACCTCAGAATTCTCTTTCTGCTTTGTGACTATGGAACATAAAACTTATGTAATGGGTGCTGAAAGGAGCACTGGTCACACTGGCTGCTACCTTGAGGTGTTAAACCCTTACGTTGAGACTATATGATCTGAAAATAGAGAAGATAACTGCACTTACCTGTTTGAGTGTTGTAAGCTGTTCCTCTTCCAGTGTAAGGCCATCTCGGTTTCACAGAGATTATTTCCCTGGGTATTGCTGCTGAAGTTGCTCCGGGTGTAGCTGTCAATCTTTTGGTTATTGCAGGTAACTACTGTTCTGCTGGTAAATAGAGAGGGTTCCTGTTCTCACATTTCCTCATGTTGAGCAGACATCAGCACACTGAATTCCTTGTGGCTGCTGGGCAGGGCTGTGTGTGTGAGCAGAGACCACCTTTCCCTGGGAACCAGGGGGTGTCCTGCTGCCTGTGGGAAAATGTCCTGGGAAGGGTCATGATTCCTGGTGGGAAATCTTAACTTGTTTGTTTTTCTTGTAGTGGAACTGCTCCATCCTCTCTCCATCCCTTTTCCACGGCATGCCTGGGCCAACTTGTATGTGAAACATTCAGCACGAAGTCACCAGGATGTTCTTACTGTCATTTGGAATGAGAAGGACAAGGTACAGTGGCCCACAGCAAATCAGTGTCAGAAGGGTATCAAGAGGGTTTTGGTTTTTTTAATTAAAAAAGGCACTAAACAAGCCAGGGAATTCGAGTATAAGGCAAACTATCCCCCTTCTTGGATGTATAAAAAGTTCTGACTGTGAAAGCTGAGTAGCTGATATTCTTGTAGAAAGTATTTTCAGGCCATAGTATTTTTTTGTTTGCAGTAACCCCACACCTTGCTCCAAAGGTAACGAAATGCATAAGCTTCAAAGCACTGGGTAAAGGCCTCTGAGAGTAGGTGGGAAGAATAGCACAAATGTCATGCTTAAAGCAGCTTATGGACAAAGAAGTAAAATCAAAGACAAGTGAGCGAGCGTGAGCATTAGTTGAGATTGAGAAGGATGAAGAACTCGTTGCATGGGTATAATACTGGATTTACCCACAAGAAGAAGACACATACCTTGCTTAGCATTTTCAGCTTTACTGATTCAGTCAAAGCTCTTTTGTATTTCACTCTTTCACTCTCCTCTTTATTAGCAAGACTGACAAATGTGGAGCAGTTGAAACCAGTGTCTGTTTTCATAAAGTCATCACTATTTTTTAAAAACATAAAGAGTAGAAAAGACAGAACTTGGAGAACATAGGGTAGGTTGATTTCCAGATGTGGTTAAGTGGTGTTACAGGTAATAAACGATAAAGCTGAATAATAATTAATAAAATAGGTTTTATTTCATGACTGAGATTCAGTCTCTGATGGCCACAATCAAAGGGACAGGGCCGAGCCCAGGATCTGCGCTGGGTGAACTCTGATCTGAACTCTACTGCTCCGGATCCCCTCTGTTCACAAACGTTGTCCCTGTCTGGGTAGTTTTTATACAGTTTTTTTCTGCCTGGGGCAGAGTTTCTCCTATTCTTTTCAGGGCTGCACATATTCATGTAGTCTCCTTTCTCTGTGCTGGGCTGGACAAAACGTTTCTGGGAAGCGATCAGTAGTCATGGGAACCTGGTGTTGGAATGCACGCTCCTGACCACTCTGGCTATCTGGTGCAGATACTGATGGTGTATTCATGGCTCGGGTGTTTCCTGGACTGGCCCGGAAAGGGCCCATCTCCGCAGGAGCCGCGTCTTTTCGGTTGTTAGTTAGGTCTTTCTCTCCGCTGCCATCTGTGGTTTCGCAATTTGTGAAGCAATCTCTTCTGGGCTCCGGCTTGTGGGTTTAGAATTTTAAGAATTTTTCTTACAAGCATAACTTATTTCATGTGTATTTCACACAAGCACGAATTATTCCAAATAATATATTACTGTGGGGACACTTTCCTGACTTGCTGCTGTGCTGTCTTTACATGTGCATCTGAAATGCAGCACCTTGGCTGAGTATTGCATTATTTTCTGAATAATGGAAAGATAGAAGACAATGTATAAAGTATGCTACCACACACAAACATAAATGTGCCTGCTAAGAGCACATAATTATTTTATTGATTTAAAAAGTATTAAAATTCCAAAATTTACTTTAGTAGTTGTACAGAATATATTTTTTACTACTTCTTAAATTACCACAATTATTAAAATCCCACCACTATCTCAGTTACCACAAAAATATTTTGCTCTCATAATGTAGCAGAATTTAGTTCCTGACGAAGCAAATATTTTTTCTTGTGCTTTAACTTTGTAAGCTGTGTCCAATGATTCTATGGCAGTGCAGCCTGCAGTGCCTAAAGATGAGATCAAAATTAAGCTTCAGCAAACTTAAGCATTGCTCATTATTTTAATAAAATACAGAGAGTAGCTCTGCTTTGAACTGTTCTCTGCAGGGAATTCAAGCAGCAAAAATTGTCCTAATTTTACCATTAATTTGCCTCACTTCTTCAGAATGGACTTTATTGTGCACGTAATTCATCTGAGGACAAGGTACAGGGAAATCTTACTGGGTGCATGTTTGAGGTCAGTATGTGAGAGGTGTTTTATTTCACAAGTTCCTTTTCCATCTGTTGATATGGATCAGATATCAGTGTCATCTTCCCTGAAGATTGGCAGACACCGGACAAGCTACAGAGCGACTCTTGCCCACCCATTTAATTACACTCTGAAGCAACTGGAGGTGCATTCCCTGGCAGAAAGAAGGGGCAGGAAGTACAACCAGCAGGTGAGAACATGAGGCTGGGCTGCAAAACACACAGCTGTGATACTGTGAGTGTGCCTTTCATCCCTGAGAATTGCAGAACCAGAAATCATCCTGAAAAATGTAAAGAGCACTAAGTGCTCTTGTTATCTCCTTGTGTCCAAACCACCAGCACTGTTTCCTAGCCAACAGTCTTGCACTTTTAGTATTGACCCATTTTGGATGGGAGGAACCCAGAAGTGCCCAGGAATCTGTCAAGCAATGAATATGAGGCAAATTTTGTCCATAAAGCAATGAACAAACTCCTAGTTTGCACATACAAGGCAAACAAAACAAAAACCAAACCAGAAACTCTTTGATACCCCTCTGAAGAAAAGCTAAATTTTTAGATTGTATAGGAAATTGCAATACAAATGTGAAAATGTGCAAGACTAGAATGGCTTTAAACTATAGTTTTGAAATGCACTTGCAGAGCATATATCGGGAAAAAGAGGAGGAGGAACTCTACAAATCATCCTTCCAGCTCAAATACTACAGTATCATTTCTGTCTGACAGTGCACTGTGTGGGTCAGGACTCTGCTGCTGAGGCTGAAGGCTTTCAGCAATAAGTTGTGCCAGCTGTGCAGTGTTTGCTGTCTGAAGCCCTTTGGTGCTCAGGGGGGTTTGCACAATACTCAGTATGGTTCCAGAATCACATTCAGAGGAACAAGTTCTCTTGTAGGGTCATTATTGCAGTTGTGCCATTGGTTGCTTTGCATGACAGACCCCAGGCAGCTTCCAGAGAGGGTGACAAAAGCCTTCCATGGCCTTGGTTGCAGAAGTGTAGCTTCCCTGGGTTTGTCTCAGGCCTGGAGCTTCCAGACCCCTGAGTTCCACAGAGTTTGAACATGGCTCTGTGGCAGCTTTCACAGTGGCTCTGTTTTCCTCCACTGGATGGGGGTCATTCTGCTGGTTCTAGTCTTGCTGCTGGACAAATCCTTCTCTGCTTTCAGCTGCAGGTCTCAGGGAATGCTGGGCAGCCTGCTCACCTCCAGCTGGGGCTGGAGGATAAATCCAAGACGGACATCAGTGCCTGGGGTGGCTGTGTGACACTCTCTGCAGGCCAGGTATGAGTCTTCCATCCCTTGGAAGGGATGAGTGTAGCTGAATTTCCCTGTTTGATCCTCACAGAATGATTTTTTTTCCTGTACTTTTTATCATATGAAAGTCTTGAAGTCAATCTTTTTGTGTCTCAAAGGAAGAAAAAGAAATGCTGTGAAAAATTCTGTTTCATGTTGCCAGCCATGGCTGTACTTGGGCTGCAGCTTTCCCTGAGGACAGCGCTGTCAGCCCCTCAGGTTTCATGGGTATAGACCACCCAGGGGCTCTCACAGGGTGTGTTTTTGCCCAGGAAACCTGCTGCCCGAGGATATACTGAACACTTTTGAAAAAATTACTTATATCTGTCAATTTCTTCCACTTTTCCAGCTTAAGAGAATATTAAGCATGGAACACCTGCATGCGTGTGGGTCTCTAGAGCAAAGACCAACACTGTTTAATGAATACCTAGATCTGAACTGGGATGACAAAAAATTCAAACACAATTTCACGTATGAGGTAAGACAAGGCAGTTGTATCTGTTGACTCACCATTTTTATGGAAGCTGTTCTCAATAGATGAGGAATTCTTTTGGTTTCAGATGTAATGTTGAGTGGATTTTAAGAAAGCTTCTATAGAGCACTATTTTTTGTGAAATATCGTTATTTCACTTTACCTTTTACATTTTTCTGTACACAGGAAGAAAGCTAAATGGAGCATAGTCAAGAAAGAAAGGGCTCTTACAAACTAGAGGCCTCACCTGTGCCCTAAATTTGCAAAACTTGTAGGATGGGGACGGGTAACAAGGCTGATAAGCCAAAACATTGCCAAATGGAAATGTTATGTTTTGGAAATGTTACATTCAAATGCTAAAGCTACTGGAATAACAAAAGTCAGCCCAGGGATGGGATGAGTGGGCTTCAAGGAGTGCCTAAGATCTTCTTGTCATCTTTTAACTTTGTTTTCTTCATTCATTTGCAGAGAAATCAACTCTTGTATCCTGATAAGTTTCAATTAGAAGCTGTTCTGGAAAATATTTTCCTGATCCCATGTGCCAAACAGAAGATTCTGGGTAAAATAGAAACAAACTACTACTCTTGCCTGGATTACTATACAAGCTTTGAGTTCTGTGACCTTCCAAATGTAAGTCTGACATAAACACACTGAACCTACTTCAGTTTAAATGTAATTACTCATGTGAAGGCTTAGTTTTCGTCAGCTGCAACTCTTCAGAAGACTTACCATACTTCTGTAGCTAAAATAAATGAACAGTGTCATTTGATGGACTGAGGCAGAAAGGTTCTGTTTGCTACTTTAGTGTGTTCTGTAGGTCCTTTTATGGTTGTAAACATTCTCACTTCCTCTGTGTTCTTTCTTTTCTGTTCCTCTTTCAGAGGTATCTTAATTTTATGTTTCTGGAGAATATCAAAACAGGCTTGTAAGTGATCAAAAAGGAGACTAGGGAGGAGTAAAAGTGCTTTCCTTCCCCTGTGGGTAAAAGTTTGCTGGTTTTTATGATTTCTCTGCTGGTAGTGATGGATTTTTGAACTGTAACCTTATTTTCTATTACACACATAAACTGAAGGCCCACCCAGGATCTTCCTTAGGTGCATGCTGGTCCTCAGAATTGCTTGTAGACACTCACAAACACAGAACTTGGAACCTGCAATAGTTCCCAGTGGCTGAAGCACATCTTGGTTTCCTTATTTAGTGTCAGAGCAGATCACACTCTGTTAGCAACAGGAAACCTTCTTCCCATACCGTGTGATAGAACTGTTTATAATGCAAAGGATGTATATTTGCATGTCACTCCAAAAGCAGGTACCTCTGTATTTTTGGATCATTCTCTTCAAAGGTATCATGGTTTAAGCCCAGCTGGAAATGAAGCACCACAGCCACTCGGGCAATCAGAAGTAAAACTTGTATGTTGAGATAAGAACAGTTTAATAATTGAAAACAAAGTAGAATACAACAATAGTTACTACTGCTACTACTAGTGAAAAGGAAAAAAACTGAATGAAGTGATGCACAAAACAGTTGCTCATCACCCCCTGCCCAATGCCAGACCTCCCACCCACCCCCACCCCCTTCCCAAACCCAGATTTGCCTCTTCCAGTAACTCCCCCCAGTTTATGTACTGGACATGATATTCTGTGCTGTGGAAAATCCCTTTGGCCATGTTGGGGCATCTGTCCCGGAGGGGTTTCTGTGCACCTCCTCACTGGCAGAGCAGGAGGGACACACAAAAAAGTCCTTGACTTAAGATAAACAACTGTGTGCAACCAAAACATCAGTGTGCAACCAATCCCATTCCAAATCCCAAACTCTACCAGGTATTGAGAAGAAATTAACTCTATCCCAGTCGAAACCATATTCACTTCACCTCCCATGTATCCCCAACTTGATCAAAATGTCTGGCTAGAGTAGCTGAGAAGTGTAGGAGCAAAAAACATTGGACATTTTAACAAAATATAGTTCTCTGCAGCTGTTCCTCTGGTCTTAGGGTGCAATCACTGAATGTGCTTTGTTAGAGCACAGAAACTGAAGATGTAATGAAGACAGTGCTGAGGAGCAGGAAGATGTGCTGGTTTCTGAAACTACAAGTTGTGTTAGTGGTGTAATTTCATGAGAATGCTGCCACTGTACAACTTGCTACTCAAAGCAGAGCCCATTTGTTTGGAAGAATTTGGAAGCTTTAACACCTTTTTTGTGCATACTTAGGTTATTGTTTTATCTGGAAAGCACCAGCTCAACAAAGATGACATCATTTTGCAGTCAGAGGGCAGATTCCACATTGCTGATCATGGGAGAGATGCTGGATTGATTGGAATATCCATAAAGAATCAGAGCACTGCAGATGTGAAGAACTATTCTCTGGAAATTGAAGTGAGTCTCTGTTTTATTTTACTGGCACTGGGGTTTGGTTTTCAAAGGCCTGCTGCCATCTGTTTCCCAAAGAGATCAGGTGCAGGCAGTGACTGTAAAACAGCAGGCAACAGAAAACCCTCCTGGTTCCTGTAGTGCTGTCTCAAAAGGAGCAGTTAGGCAGCGTCCATGCGGTGTGACCGACAGACAAAGGAAGGCACCAACATCAGTTCTCTGCAGAGCTGTCACAAATAAAGCGTATTTCTAGTGGAGTGTATCAGTTTTTAGAGGCTGTGTGCTGTTCTAACTCCCCTTCAGCATGACTGCTCTGTTGTGTGAGGTATGGGGTTTTCACCTCGTCAGAAGAGGGAAACAAGAACTGGCAAAAAAAAAAAAAATCCACAAAACAGCTTATAGGATGCTCATTCTGAGACAAATCTCTTAGTTTTTATCTCCCCTCCCCCTGTTTTGCATTTGCTTTTAATTTCCTGTGAAATTAAAATGGTGGAGAGGCAGATGGAGACAACAGAGTGAGGCAACTAATGGGGTTGGCACCATCCAAACTCTTCATTAGTAGGAATGTGAGTAGTCAGGCACTGAGACAACAGATAATTCCTTAACAAAATTATGATGATGATTTAATCAGTAACAAATACTAAATTATTTTTCCATTCCTCTCTCTTTAGAGAAGAGGGAGATGAAATGAGTATCAGTGTCTCTGCATGAGCTTGCTTCATTCTGTATTTTAGAATAAATGGCACAAATCAGCAGCTTCACAGAGAACTGACTGGGACATTGTTTCTTTCATTGCTTCCATTAAAATGTTGTCCACAAGTCTCGTGCTATCCAGTCATTCAGCTCCTGGGCCAGTCACTCTGATGCTTGTGCCTCTCTTAGTGTAACTCCTGCATAGTGCACAAGCATTGGGAAACATTTCCCTCACCACTTACCCTTTTGTGGGAAGCACTGATATTTGAGCACCATCTCTGAATGATCATTAATTCTGTGTGGTGGCTTTGAATAAGTGTTTTTTCCTTTATGGCTGCAGTTAAGAGCCTTTGAAGATATTTGGCTAGGCCTGACAGGAACTGCTGCTTCCTCATCTGTCCAGAGCCAAATCCTGGTGGAGGGGATTATTGATCAGAAAGAAAAAGTAAAAGTAGCTGCTTCAAAAGGAAAGGAGTGTTTTCAGTACTACATGGGGTATCTGCAAGGTATGTATCTCACTGACCGTGCTCTCAGCCATAGGACTTCATTTTAGGTCATCCTGCAAAGACCAGGGAGCTGGACTTGATGATACTGATGGGTCCTTTCCAACTGGAGCTATTCTGCAACTCCCAGTGTCATTGCTATGCAGAGACAGGAAGAAAGTCCTGTCTCTAGCACTGAGCTAGCTCATTTCATTCAAACTATGGTCTTTCAGATAAAGAAAACCTGAAGTTTAAAGTTTGTTACAAAGCTCAGTTTGGGACACATTTTTGTATGATTACAATAGATGGTAACAAAAGATAGGATCAATTTCCTCTTGATTTGACCATCTTAAAGTTTTGTGCCTTGTTTAAAATAATAATTGCATTCCAAATTCAATAAAGGAAATGAGAGAGGCACCTCCAGAAACTGACTGTACCACATGCTGGAACAGCTGTGTGAACTGGGATGTGTGAAGTGGGATGTGTGCAGTCACTGCCTGCAGGGGATTGTCTCACAGCAGTCAGCTCGACTGACAACGGAGAGGGGAAAAAAGGCCATTGTTTCAAGTTATGCCTAAATTCTAGATGAGTAAAGTGAGATGAAATGAGCTGCAAGAGGTCGGCTCACCCACATTTCAGCTACAGTTAGAGTTGGGTGCAAACCAAATAGATTTGGTGGTATCCCAGTTGTCTCAAACTCCTGTTGCTGACAATCCCAGCCCTTGTTTCACTTATGGATTTGCTATTCCACACTTCTGCATGGGAGTTTCTCTCAAGTTCAGGTCCTCACCTGTATGTGCTATGATGTTTCTGAGATAAGGACCATTAGTTTGTGAATCACTGAAGTCTGAAGTTTGTAGAAATTTACTCAATTTAGCTCTCTCAACCCAGATTCTACATGCACCTTGCCAACCACTTATTTATGCTCATCAGTGGTTCTGTAGAAATGACTTATGTGTGTGGTGGGTGGAACTGACAGGCTTTCATTTAAGGACTGAGCAGTTTTGAAACATCTGCAACAAGCCACAGTGAGGACTAAAGTAGAAAAAAAGGCCTTGTAAATCAGTATGACTGAGAGATTTAGATTTACATTAATCCAGTGCTTCCTTTGCAGTAGCAAATCTGTCTATATAATTCATTAACAAGCCACACAGAAGAGATCAAATCCTGACACTGATTTAATTGTCTCTTGTTTATATCTTCTGTTTTGTTTTAGTTTTTTCCTCCACGCCTAACACACTCAAGCTCTGATTAATCACCTAAGTAATTAAACTCTGGCTTTGAAACAATGTCTGTCAATGTTGTTCCTGTAAATGAAGGCTCTTTTTTCATTCCTTAAGGGCATTTGGAAGAAGGAATGGAAGTCAGTGCTTGTTCTGATGGGAAACGGATGGCTGCCATTAACACCTATCTCAGCATCAATGGTAAAAGGCAGGAAAACGTGGGACAAGTAACTCTAGCAGCTGCTAATGGAAGCTTGAGTTTTCTGGCCCATGGATGTGGGGATCCAGTTCTTAAGGCTGAGGTGAGACCCTTGAGTGGCTGTTAACTGCAGTATGATTTTCCCAGAATATTATTTGTTATTTTGATGGAGCACCTTCCATGCAGTTTGGTGAGTAACTAGGCAAAATTATGTAATGTTGTAATTATTTTCACGTTGATGTGAGAAGTCACCACGGTGAGAACTAAGAAATTCAGCCATGTCTAGAGATAGAAAATACAGGACCCTCTTCTAAAGGGTGGATCCTCTGAGGAGGTTAAGTAAATAAAGTGAGAGCAGCAGTAACTGCTCAGCCTGTTGGTTACAAAACTAGTGATCAGAATCCTGAACGTACTTTCACTTTTAGTAGGGTTTCACATACTCTCTACTTGAGGAAGGCTTTTTGCTTTTTACCGTTTGACTTTTCTATTCCCGTGTCTGCATTGAATAATGCAGAAGTAGTTTCCCCTAAGAAACGTGAGGCCAAAGTGGGTGTTTGCTGGCCTTTAAACTAGTACAAACTTTGAATGATTTAGATCCAGCACAAGCAATTTTAAGTAATGAATTCAGGGTTTTAACAATCTTCTACAGAACAAGCTTAATGAAATTGGGAGCCTTTTGAAAGCCACACTGACTGAGAAGATAAAAAAGTTTGATGGATACCTGTGGAGATTCAGGAGATCAGTAAGTATCTGTGAAAACACCATGAAGTGTTCATGCAGTGTGAGTTAAACATCATTATATTGCCTGCAGCTGTTTTGTTTTGCTCAAACATTTCAGTGATTACTCCTGTGCTGACCTGTATACAGAGACAAAATGCATGTTTAATGGACACAGTGTATCTCTGCACCAACACTGCGAGTCAGAATTGCCTCGCAATGAAGTAAAAGCTTTGCTTGAGATCACTGTGTGTTTTTAAATTGCTTCTTTTTTGGATGCACTGTAGGTGCAGCATGTTGGTTTCCTGTCTGAAGCAGCTGGCTGGCCTTCAATGGCCTTGCAAAGGGCAGCAGAATTCCTGCACAGTGGGGCTACAGCTATCACCCAGGTGTGGAAGCAAAGTGGAATTGGACACATTCTGAGAAGCAGGATCCCACTTTACCTGGAGAAAATTCAAGATGTTGTCCAGCAAATGCAGAATGAATTACAAAGTAAGCAAAATGATGCAAAGCAAGAAGAGGGACAATGTCAGTGCAAGGCAAACCAAACTTCACTGCAAACTATAAAACATACTGAACAGCACAAAGGTTTCTATTTTGATCTAGCAATAAGCGCTGACCTTGGCCCTTAGTGTACAGAGTGGGAGCCTTGATGCAATAAGCTCTAAGAAGGCTCTGTGTGAGCTCCTTTCTAATGAAATCAGTGGTGAGGCTCTTTCTGGGTCGCAGGAGGCTGGGTTCAATTGGATGAGAAGAGAGTCCTTAATTCCTAAGCTGAAGTATTTCTGCTACCAGTTCCCTGGCAAGCCTTTCCTCCCAAAGGCCTGTTCATATCCCTCCTTGAGTTTTTAATGCTTGTACTAATTGGATTTCACTTGATCTGTTGTTTTTTCCAAGCCTATCCAGTAGCCACTAATTCACTGTTCAGCTGGATTGTGGCCCACACCGAAACCTTTGAGAAATGTGGTCAGCCGGAATTAGTGTGAGAACCTTCAGTTCTCACAAGGGTAAAACCTCACTTGGGGCCACTTAGCTCTAAGCTATTCCCTCTCAAAAGCTGAATTTGGTTGACATAGCATGCTTGAAATCAGTTGTGACCAAACTGTCCTGTTGCTCAGCAAGAGCAGTCTGTGCAGACAGTACAGCTCTGACAGGGACGCATTGCAGAGCATCCTTACACTGCGTTTGGACAGCAGCAGTGTATTTACAAAGGGTCAGGGTCAGAGCTAAATGGCTCTTTCAGTTCACAGCTGTGCAATGTGCCTGACTGCCATGGAAACACAGCTGTCTCTTCTACTTTTCTGTGCTCCCCCTTCACTTATGCTGGAAGTTGAGTAGAAACAAACAAGCAAACAGCCGCTTTGTACCAAACCAGCTAAGATCTGTCTCATTAATGTGTTTGCTTCAGAGCCATTAGCAACTTTGAAAGATGCCTACTACGATGTAACCTTGAAGCCACTGGATGAAGTCTGGAAAGAGAAGACAGAAGAGCACATGATGAAAATCCTGGCTTTCTTACCCAAGATTGTAAAAGATGTGTGGCTAATGAAACCAATTCAGATGGCATTAAAGGTTGCAAAAGCAGGCTTGGATATGGTTGGTATAACTCTGTTCTTCATTTCTAATTCAAGGCCTACAAATTTAAGTCTCAGCTTTGAACTATGGATACACAAAAATAGTTAACTATTTTTGTTTATGGAAATAGTGCAGTTGTCTTTCCATATAATAAACTTCTGCGCAGCTGATTTACTGTTCTTGCAATATTTGTCCTGCTTTAAAAGAGTAGTTTTCCAGCTACAGGAAAGGTTGTTTTACTAGTTCTGGTTGAAATCACAGCAGCAGTAATCTGTCATTCATGTAGCTTTTACTTTTCTTGCATAGAGAGGAGAAATTGTGATTCCAATGAACAGTGTACAAGTAAATCTGGGCTCTTCTAGTTGAAATGAAAAGCATAAAAGCTATATCATGAGGCTAACTTATATTATTAAAGATACCAGTCCTTTCCAAGCTACTGAAGCACATTAACTTAGTGAAGCATTGCTACACTTTGTTATTTAGGAGAAATTTCTCTCCATTGATGTTGTTAACTAGAGTCTGTCCTCTGGATATTATTAACCTCTACATGACATGATACTGTCAGACAGGAGACAAATGCAAGAGACACTGAAGTGGTATTTTGCATTTCTTGATTTAAAATTCATTTGCAAGTACTGACCCTGCCCTGAAGTCATACTGAAATTGCTTTTACAATCTGTGACTCTCTAACAGGCCACCCAGCAGGTGCTCAGGTGGGCAGAGGCCACGTTTTCCAGAGCTGTGAGCAAGATCCGGAAGCCCTTGCTGAACCTGTACAGTTTTTCACCCAGGTAACTGGTGTTTTTGCAAAAGGAAAGTTTTTGCTCTGGGCAGTGTTTTAAAAGGATATGTGCACAGTTACTCTTCCTTTCAGTGTGCAGCTGAGGGTTCTGAACAGCACCCAACCACTCTTTGCTTAGGTCACATCACGGTTTATTTCTGTTGGCTGCCAGACCCACTGTGTTTGAAAGGAGCTACTGGGCAGCAAACAGGGTATCAGTAACTGATAACTGGCCTGAGGTGACCTGGGGAAGTGCAGCTGTTGGCCAGAGTAGGGTTGTGTTTTGCTGTTCTAACCAGACTACAGTTCTTATGAATGCTTCACTTCGACATTTCTGTTAATAAAACAACAGCATTTCATCAGTTCAGCAGATAAGGGATGTTCTCTTTGTATTCTACAGGAACTGTTCAGTGGCAGGAAAGCTGCCAGTACTACCTACAGCAGACCTGTCCCTGCAGCTGGCAAATGTTACCACTTACCTCATTGGAGAAAAACTGATGAGGCCTCTGCAGGACCTCTACAATCTCAACATACTTGCAGAGTACTACAGAATCAAACGGAGGATGATGGAGAGCCCCTTTGAATGTAAGCCCTTTCAAAGTGCTGCTTTGTTTGGTCCCTGAGTCTATTTCCACTTAGTACTGCATTTTAAAAATTGTATTTGGAATAGAAGTTTACATAGAGATGCTCACTACTTAATAATTTTCTTATCAACTTACATATAGTCTTTCTTGTAAGATAGTGATGGTATGTATAAGATCAACACTCTGAGCAAAGCTGGCAGGCAGTAACACTGCTCTACTTAATATTAATGCAAATTTTGTAGTTCTTTACACTTCCAACTCTTGAGACTAGAAACAGCAGGTGGTATTTATCTGCCTTATCCATATGCTCTTGTGAGTTGATACTAGGGTTCACTGCCAGTCTCACCTGCTGGCTCTCTGTCCTGGCAGAGAGGCTTGGAAACTGGTGACTTCACCTCTGCTGCCTCTAGGATGAGCCAGCTCAGCCCTACCAAAACTTAATCAACAATAGTGCCTGTAAAAAAATTGCTAAATGCTAAAGAAATGCACTAACAGTCCCAACTGTCTCTTAAAGAGAATGGCTTTTCCAGAAAACCCTTTTTAATGGCTTCCTCCCAGTACAGAGAGACCTATCTGAGAGCTGTGAAAGTAGCTCCTAGTGACCCAATAATCTGAGTCCTCTATGAGCAGGGCTTCCTGGATTGCAGCTCTTTGATGCACTGATTTGGAAGGGTCATTTTTGGACACAATTTTTGAGAATTAATATTCTTGTGTTTTCTGCATAAGAATGTATAATGTGTGTGTTTATAAATATGACTGTCAAGTAGTACAATGACAAATCAAGATGAGCTCTGAATCCCAGTTCAAGTTGAACCGTTTTATGGCACTCAGGTAAATCTATAACAAAAAATAAATCATTAAATTGTTTTGTTTCTGAGAAAAGTTTTGTTGTAGAGCAACTACATTGTAACTAATTAAAATGTAAGTGTAATAATGCCACTGTAATAATAATTTTAGAAGTTATTTCAAGACAGCAAGAAGCGGTGTGTGTTGCAGTATGTGCAGCATTTACTGCTCTGTGGAAAACTCACTGATGTTTCTTCTGAAATACTATTCTCCAGATCATGCTATGTTAGTGGGGACCAAACATCTTGTGACTTTTGATGGAAGAATGTATGATTTGGCATCAAAGTGCAGTGTACTTCTTGCCAAGGATTTTGTTCACAGTGCTTTCACTGTAATACTAAATGAGGAAACTAGGAACTCAAGATCACTGTATGTGGAGATGAATCAGACTGTGATCACTATCTACCCACGACTGAAGGTAGGAAGATCAAATCAAACATTTTTTATTTTTGGCAAAAATTTTCTTCTTTCTTCTATTTTTAAAATATTAATGCTGAAAACAAATCAGAAGCACTCTCAGGCAATGGCTTTAAAGTAACAGCTTCTTAAAAAGAAAATACCTCTCCAAAACAAAACCAGTTTAACTCAAGGGCTGCCTCTTTGCTCTCTGTATATGACAGAAACTTTTCAACTTTCCTCAGACATGGTCTAAGAGAATGGCACTGAGAGGAAGACTTTGTGCTTTCTGCTCTTTCAGAAGTTTAACACAACCCTGTTCTTATTCCCTTAATTCTGGGCTGAGTTGGCCTCATTGCACCTGCAAATCCATTGTGCTTGCCTGTGACTGAACTTTCACTATGACAGGTTTGAAACTGCATTTTCATTTTAAAACAGATATCCAAGATGTATAACTTCTCCTTTTCGGAAGAGAACTGCCAAGTGCTGGATCAATCCCTTGAAAACAGTACCATGAATTCAAGGCAAGGAACCAACAAAATAGAAGTATCTGATCAGAAAGGAGTTTCTGTCACTTGTGACTTTCAGTATGATCTCTGTACTGTCACTCTGGCTGGGTGGCACCATGGTGAGTATCAATCATACAGCTGTTGTCAGCTGTAAGTCATTTTTGCTATCTCTCTGAATTAGCTGTATTACTGGTAGTACCAGCATCTGTGCTTTCACTTTTTTTTCCCCCTCTTAATTTATAGACACCCTGGAACTGGCCCTAGGCATTCCCAGTAATTGCCAAACAGAGCATGGAATGCACCATTCCAGCCAGGGAGAAGAGCAAGTTAGGGTTACTGTTGATTCAATGCTATAAACCAGACAGAAATCAGAGGCAGAGGTACTGTAGTCAGCCCAGCCTCAAAATCTGGTTGAGAATCTGCTCTAGAGCAGGCTTAGCTTGTCAGACCTGCAAGACAACTACAGAGGGAGGCCCAAAACCTCATAGAGTTTTTTGTATACTTGGAATGCATTCATGTACCATCCATGTACCCCACACTATTCTAAAAGTCACCCTCCAAAGATGAGCAGAGAAGGGATCTGATGCCATGACATGCTCAGAAGCCCATGAGCAGCTGAGACACGAGATGGCAATGCAGGCTGGGCAGCTTCTCCTCTTCCACAACAGAGCTGAGCTCTGCTGGACAGAATCATCAGAGCCCAGAGACAGCTGCTGCAATATTCCTGCACCTACTCCTGACAATTCCTATTTTACTCCATTTCAATTTCCTCCCAGGTGTTTCAGCTGGGCTTTTTGGTACCAATGATAATGAAGCTGGAAACGAATGGATGGTGCCTAATGGTTCCTTCACTGACAACGTGAAAGAGTTCACACAGAGCTGGCAGGTAACGCGCTGAGGGCTCCTGTGTGCAGGGCTGCTGACAGAGGGCACTGTCTGACACGCTGGGTTGGCTTAGATGAACTAAAGCTCGATAGTGAGAACAGCAGCACACTGCACTGTTTTGCTGTGTCTAACCAGGGAAAGGGTTGCACATATCTGCTAAAAACTGTTCAAGAATTCCTTGCAAATAGGCATTGAATATTTTTGGCCTAGGTGCTAAGGTAAAACATAGAGGTGGCTGTTGTTGATTTTAGAAGAAACTGATATTGGAGCTAAGTACCTTTGATTTTTTCCTCCTCAGAGCACCTTTTCCTGGAATGCAGGGACAGGTGCTACTAGGTCTGGGCTAAATCTGTATGTTCATCACTCAGGTCACAGTCTGAGGTTTTCTTTAGAGCTGTTAGTTCTAGCTGGGTATGTTGAGCCTCTTAATTTTCTTTGTTCTTCATGCTTTACATCTCATCAATAAACAAAACTTTAGAAACAAATCTGTAAGTATTTGAAAGTAAATTTGTTCTCCATTCCCACACCACTAAATACTCAGACCTTTTTGGAAGGTTAGCTGCTGCTGTCAGTTACTGACTTGCACAAAAAAGACTCCTATAACTACCATGAATAAATGTAACAATTTTATACCATTAACATTATAGCTCTGCTTAATTCATGTACTCTGTCATTAGCTGCAAATAATCTAAATAAACAAACATGCAGTTGTACAGAACCATTTGTGAATACAACCTACAAAGAAACGTAGCCTTAACATGCTCTCAAGCCATGTTGACAGGATCCTCTAAATCCCTTCCAAATCTAGTTTTAAGAATCTATTACCAAAAAGAAAAGAAACCAGCATCTTATTCCCACAAAGATTTTGTGACTCTTCCACTTATCCTGTCTCACAGAAGATGTCTGAGTTCTGGGAACAGAAATCTCATTTTCAGCTTTATGTCAGTACTTTACTGTAAAAGAGAGAATTGCTTGAAGTATCTTGTACTTCTTGCTGTTGCAGAGCTACAGTTAATGAGCTTGCAGTCTATGTTTATGTTAATAATGGGGCAGGGTCCCAATGTGACTGACCATAGGCACAATTTTCTTTATTGCTACAAATATTAACTTCTAATATACTTACAAAAATGCAAAACTCCCCACAGAAATTGAACAAAAGAATCAATTAAAAGCAATAAATAAGAAACTTGGGTCATACAGAAGCAGGGCAGTCCTGAGTGCCCTTCTTTAGGGGCAGAATGGCTGCACTTGCACTACTGATTGGAAGGGCTCACACTGGACTGTGAACTCTGACTGCAGCTTGTTCCCAGGAGCTTTATCACAGCCCTTGTCATGCACTGACCTTGCAAAGGACGTCAGCAGAGCTCCACCATCACAAGGCCAAGGTTGCACAACAGGAAGGGACTGAGTGTCTGACTCCTGCAGGATGGGGGTTAGCACAGAGTAAACTGACAGTTCATTTTCCTTAGTAAGTAAAATAACTACAATTTACACTTGCTTTAAGAACTTCTTGGTGGTGTGGTTTTGTTGTTCTTTCTTCTTAAAGCTACCTTTACCTATGACTAATCCTGCAAGGGTATGAAGCCTTTTTTCTCCGTGACAAAGCTCTAGTAAAAGCACAACTCTGACCTGTCAGATCCATATAAAAGAGAACTAGCCAACTACCTGCTATGTCAGCAACTAGACACCAAAATCCTTCAGTGAATAACAGAATCAATAGCAAAAGGAAACAATATCTAATCTGTGAGGTGCCTCTCAATATAAATGAACAACATAGAGCAGGGTACTGAGCTGCCCATATCATCCTTCAAACCAGCTCACACTGGAAATCTGAAAAACTCATCCGACCTTGATGTATGCAAAAAAACCCCCAAAATACACCAACTTCAGTAATTCTGTTTTTCCAGGTGAATAAGTGCAGTCTGGTACAGAAGAAAGAGAAGCCATGTCCAATTACAGCTAAGCAAAACATCTGTAAAGTGTTCTTTGAAGAACCACATTCACTTCTTAGGAACTGCTTCAAAGTTGTAAGTAGAACTTCAGCCAGAAGCACTGTCTTAATTATGCGTCATACTTGCAATGAGGTCACATAACCATTGCAAGGATAGAGATTAGTTGCAGAAAACTTAAGAAGTAATTGAAATAGCAATCCAGACAGAATAAAGAGGGGTTTTTATCACCATAAATATAAATGGAGGTTTTTGACATCCACAGAATAGTGGCATGACTGCACTGCTCTTTAGGATACAGGTGTAGAATTTGGAAACAGAAATAACCTCCTCACTGTTAGGAAAGAAATAAAGGTTTATAAATGGACCTAACTGGCAGGGGGGAGGGGACACAACCCAAACCTCTGGGTTTTCCTGCAGGTCCCTCCTAACCTCTCCCTTTGTGCCCAGGTGGAGCCCGAGCCATTCTACACCATGTGTACACAGGACACCTGTGACTCCCCGGCCTTGGGGGCTGCCTGCAGCTTAGCAGCAGCTTTTGTTCATTTGTGCAACCGGAATTTTGTCCCTGTTGAAATCCCTCCACAGTGGTAAGTTTCATTTCTTTTACCACCCTGAATATTCTGAGTGCATTGCTCCAGCACTTACATGTCTGTGATGCAAGAACATATGAGAAAATAAAACTAATGAATCTGACTGTGGCCATGAGCAAAACTGATCCTATTCCCAGAAATGTTCTTCTTGCCTCTTGGCTACCTCCCCTTCCTGCTGTTCACTCACAAGCACACCAGAGCCCATCCACTGCACACTCTCTACTGCCTTTCTTATTTTGTCCTGATGTGCTGTGTAACAGAGGCAGAAGGCTACCTGCAGAATACTGTGTAATGTCCCCAGGAGTTCCTCCTCTTGGATACTGTATACTGTCTGGTTCCATCTTTTTTTTGGTCTGAATAATGCATTTGGATTCATATTAACAACAATACATATACAGACATAAAATACTCAGGGACTTATTTTTGCACTTTTCAGTATCTAGTAATGAAATTTATCTATCTTTTCAGCCTAGAATATCCAGATTATCAATACGTGTGTTTTAATGCAGCTGTCATCCAGGTTGCATTGTTAAGTGAATTCCTGGAATATAGCCAAGGAAGATGAAAAGCCTGAATAGAGCAGTAGCACTTGCTTGAAATCTTTATAATTACAGTCCTTTCCCACTTCTGTAGTTATTGTGCCAATTTGTGTACTCCAAAAGTGACTGGAGCCACATGTGCTGCCAACTGGAGTTCCATTATTGATACTCTTGCCCAAGCAGTAACTCACTGTATTTTTACAAGACTGCAATGGAAACATTTACACCAAATAAATGGCAGAATCATGCAGAAAAGCGAATTATGCTTTTGCTTGAAATGAAGCACTTGGGTTTATTCCTTTTATGCTCCATGCTTTGCTAAGGCTTAGTAATAAAAAGAAGGTGGGGTTTTTAATATATGTATTGAAACATTATTTATTTGCATTTGTAAACTCACTGCTATCTCAAAGGACTGATTTGGCGACTATAAACCCATTTGTAGTATGCCTTGAAAAATTGACAATTATTACCTGATTTCTTATCCATTAAGGAAGGGAGTAGTATTTGTAAATGGGTTTGTTGGCCATAAAATAAAAACCTACAAAAAGAACACTCACTGTGTCTGGAAGTGCATCATATCACACGCCCACACACTGAAACAATGTTGCCTGTCAATATCTGCCTGAGCTGTTCAGTTCACTCGGCTCCTAAGCAGTGGGTGATCAGGACATTTGTGGGCAGCATCTTGTAGGCAGCGAGAGGTTTTAGCTCCAGCAGTTACAAAAACTCTTCAACATATAAATATGAAATACAGAGACAAATTTTGTTACATCTGAGTCGACAGACTATTCAGTTGAAAATGAGAATAGCTTGGTAGCTGAATGATTGCAGTCAGCTAGTGCTGCTAGTTTACATTATCCCATTTCTGAGGAAAAGGATTGCAATGAAGGTGGACCACAAGGTCAGTTACCTAGAACATGTTAATAAAGAAGCAAAATACATTGGGGATGTACACATGAATCAATGTATTGAAGACAGGAAATACCTTCTTTTCTATTTAGCTTATTTCATATACCCAGTTTTGGACACCATCTTTTACTTAAATTGTGAACCAGTTGAGAACAATCCTGGGGAAAAAATTGAAGGGTTGAGGAAAGACATGAGTTAAGTCTCTAAATATGTAAACACTCTAAAGAGAAGGAAGTTGAACAGACCAAACTAAGGGAGAATTAGGTATGACACAGTGAAAGAGTCTGTAATGGTTGGGTTACTCAGACATGGTAACTGATAACCAGCAACAGTCATGACAGCAAAACAGAAAGTGGCTGTCAGCAGAAACTACCTCTGCACTATTTCTTAGAAATTCATGCTTGTCAAGGATCTTCCACTGAATAGCTGAACTACCCAGACCTCATAAACTTTAGAAATAATGTTGCCCCTTTCTTCCTAAATGTGACTTTATCCAACATGAGAGAACCTTACATCTTTATTTCAGTTTAGCGATCTAAGATAAAACCATATCTAAAATGCTGGAGTACTTTCCCCACAGTGTTTTGGTGTCATAAATATATCTGATGCTATTTTCCCTTCAGAGATTTTTTTGTATTTCACTGTAATGAGAGGTTGCATTACATGTGACTTGTACTTACTTATCACTTACCTGGAGTTCATCTCTTCTTCATTTCAGCTCAAGCCAGTTCTGAATGGCAGATGACAGCCCTGAAGATGGAAGAACCCTTTCAGCACCCAAAACAAAACAGTTATTTTAGGCAGACAAGCTAGAGGCAAGAACTGGGTGAGAACAGTAGAAGCGTGAATGCATTAGTGTTAACTGTGAATATAGTGAAGTATATATAGTATAAAAGGAAAGCTTTCGACCCAGAACCTCTGAGGGCAAGAGGAATTATTTCAGTATATTGACAAGAAACTATAATCAACCAAAAGAAATAAGAGAGGAAAGTATCAGTTACTCTAAAAAAACTCTCCCATTCGGTTCCAAAATTGCCTCTCCACAAGCCTTGAACCATAGCACAAATACACTGAAAAGCTGAGAAAAGCTCTCTTCCAGCTCAGAATGGTACAAGTGGACTACTTTGTGAAAGCAGCATCATAAGCTCAGTCAGCAGAGATGCTGACTTCTTTTTTCTCCAGAAATGAAACTGCACCATTCAGTGGTTCTGGAGAAAGCTATCTATCTTTTCCAGGGAAGTGCTCCAACACACAAGAAGGCCAAGACAGAAATCAGATGGGTAAATAATGGAAAGCAGTTAATAATTTTCTCATTTTTATGCTGGTTGACTTTTCCCTTATTAATGTACACACTGTTAAATGAGAAACAGCCTTCTTGGTTTCTGTGCACCAGTTTCACATTTTCCCTTTGTGTCTTTAGAAACCCCTTGGCAGCAGTCAGTTGATGTGTTGGGAAAAGGTGACCAATATCTACCCTACCCATGAAGTAACATTAGGGTGTTATAGCTACTGCTGTGTGAGTGTCTCACCTGTTGAATCCCTTTCTGTATTATAGGTCACTTGATTAAAAAATTGCATCACCTTTCTCCACACAGTGCCTGGAATGCAGCTATTCCTTGGTAAAAGGTAATGCTGCATATACAATGTTTGTGTAATATGCAAACATTGAAATAATGGTGTTTTGTACTATCACATCATGCTAATAAACATGTGACTGCCTTATTTTTACACTGGAGTACATTTTTATTGATTATTCGTAGCAACAAAGTTGCACTGACCTCTATAGAGAGTTGGCACTGGCTGGGTTTGACTGGCTCAGGAAAAGCAAGCAGCTGCCTCTTATCTCATGTGTGCTGCTTGCAGCTGCACTTGATTTCTGAACACTTATTCTCTAGCTTGATACAAATTAAAACATGATTCCTACATTAGTCAGGAAAGAATCCTGCAATTTTTAGGATTCCCACACACATCAGATGCTAGAAATCAAGTCTTCCTCTGTAATAATTTTATACCTGCACTCTTGTAAAAAGGCAAAATGGTATGAAATATTTCTGGAAGTTACAGAATATTTATACCAGTTACTGACTAAAAAAACATGTAATTTTTTCCCCAGTTACTGAATGTCACTTTACTCCCCAACTAAGCATACCAAGCACCTCTGAAAAAAAATCCTGCAGTGACAGTTTCAGAAACAAAGAAAAATATCAGCAAGTAGAGCAAAAGATTGAGAATAGCTCAGTCAGCAATACAGGAATTTAACTAAATGCTAACTGCAGACAGCAACACTGAGGTGGATGCAGACACTAGGTCTCCTCTAAAAGCTGCATGTAACTTATCACTTGTAATAAAGAAGCCATTTAAGTACCAATAAACATTTTTAACTGCAGCCATTTCATTCAGTGCACTTGTTTGGTATCTCTGAGCTGTTCCTAGGTTCACAGTGCACAGTTCCTGTCTGGATACTCTTTAGAGAGTCAGGAACTTGCAGAGGCCCTGGACACACCTCAAGCCTTGAAGCTCAGCAGGAGCCAGCCCCAGCCCTGCTCTGACCCTAGAGCCACAGGCCAGGTGGAAATCCTGCTGTCCCCATGGGCTGGGCTGGACACCCCACTGACCCAGGGCCCCTGCGCACACAGGGCACGTATGAGACACCACTTACTCTGAGCAGGGCTAACAGCCACCCTCAGGGGTGACAAAAAAAAAAGAAAAGAAAAGAGAACAACCCCACACTTAAATGAAGTGTTCCAGGTCATGTTCATAACTGGAGTTTAGCACTGATTCATAGCTGTCACGAATAAAGCCTTATTTCCATGTTTCTGCACTGGCAGCTGTGCCTTTGCTGCCTGACGCTGCTGTTAATGCAAAGGCAAATGCTCTGTCACACCTGTTCACCAAATACCTGCCCACAAACACAGCAATGTCACAGGCTGTGATAGGAGTTCTTAAATGAACTGTGTAAACCTTTTAATGAACCAATAAAACCATCCAGCCAGACTGTTTTTAAGCATACCTTATTTACTGCATGGTAATGTCTTACCTGAGGAATTAAAAATGGAGCACACACAACTCCCTCCTGCCTAACAGAGAGATGGCAGCTCCTATCAGCAAACACAACACCAGAGTGACACGGCAATGTGGGGAAGCCCATTCCAGGTGTACCTGGAGGGAGGGACAGCAGTGTCCCTGCAGGGCAGTGTGCCAGCTCCACACTAAACAGCCCTCAGGCCAACTGAGACACCTTTGTGATTTCTCATGGATGTGAACCTCTGGAGAAGAATCACCTTGCAAGGGTTTGACTGAAGCATTTATCAGATCAATCCATCAGCTTCAGTATTTCAAAACTGGCTTTTATCTCTGCACTACCCCTGGCTTTATCAGGACTGAACTTTTAGTAGATAACTACTGGCAATGCTGCACATTATTGAACACCTTGACTGAAGTAATCCAAACTGTTCATGCCTCAGATGCAGGTCATGCAGAATATAAACTATATATATAAACTACGTTGTCATAGGGCAAATACATAATATGCACTGCATATCTCATGGATCTCCCCATCACAACACAGGAATTTCTGCCTCTGTAACTCCTGCTGTGAGAGCACTTTGGACACACCTGCCCAGGGCAGCTGTCTTTGCAGAGCACACACAGGTGCAGTCGTGCTTCCCAGAGTAGTTTTAGTGCTTACAACTCACCTCCAACACGTTCTTTATAGAGAACCCCCATGATCCATAAAGTTCACAGAATTTCTGCATGTTACACCAAGTTAACCCCAAAACAGATGTAACAAGAGCTCAGCTTTGACCTCCTCCTCAACACAGGGCTAAAGAAGCCCCTTGTGCTGTAACTCCTCAGTTACATACTCTGCTGTTCAACACCAACAAAAATCACAAACCCACGTTCTAACTGCAGAATTTGAGATACAAGGTGAGGAAAAGGGAGAATTCCCAGTACCCAGTAGAGCCCCACAATGCTTAACTGTGGAAATCCAGAAGCAAGGCCCCTCAGCCCAGCCTTAAACAGGCACCATCAGCCTCTCATGGTGAAGTACAACTGAGCTGGGAGGCAAAGCAATTTCCAGCATTCTTTTGTTTAGAATACAACACTCACCCTGGCTACAAGTGTCTTTTGCTTTGAACTCCTAGGAAAAGAATTTTTAGTATGAACCAGTTACCAGCTGATATGGCGGTGCCATGGATTATTTCTGAAGGCTACAGCACTCCACAAGCAGATTTTTTCCAGAATTGCAAAGAATAAATAAACCCAGACTGCTAAAAGTCTTTATCTTTGTATGTCTTGCATTTCATCAGCAGGATCTCAAGAGCACAGGACTTCACTGCCTGTGATATGGTATGGTTTGGAACACCAAACTCAAGGCTGGAATTGTACTCTGAAATCCAGTCCTTAGTCTGCTAAGATCTCAAATCTTTAAAGGATGCTAGTTAGTTTCCACATGCTTTGAAAACCTAGTCCCACAATTTAAAAATTTAATTACCACCACTTGATTCTCATCTTAAATTGTAGAGCATACAATCAGAGATTCTCTGTTCTTCCAATATGCATTCCTAATTAACATAACTCTATTGCTGGACAATACAGTCCCCAATCACAAAGCCATTCCACACAGATACTGCAATGCATTCATCAGGACCCAAATTCTCTTTAGACAAGATGGAAAATAAAGAGTAGTAATATTTCCACTTTTTACAGGTTTCTTGATATGATTTCATTGTTTGTTTTTTTTTCAGAAAAGGAAAGATAATTTAGAATATAATTCAGAATTATTTAAACAGTTAAAAATAGCATACACTGGAAGAAAACAACTTTCAAAAAGGAATGCTCTTAGGGACAGAATGCTTGTTTCTGGAGGTAAAAAATATTTACATCTTGCACCTGAAGAACCTATGCCAAGGAAACCTGCATCACAACTTTTCATTAACTTCACTGGAACAGAGGAGTCATTACCACTTTCTGTATTTCAGAAACTAGAGAGGTATTTTAAGTCCAAGACACTGCTAATTGTTACCAAGAGACACCTGTCTTACAAGCAGTTTACAGACATGGTGATTACTGAAATAGAAAATACAGGTGAAAACGATTATTTCCAAGCACAGCCTAAATGGACTGAAGTACATTTTGCCTTGATGCCAGGTGCTGAATTCACCCTGGTAGCACGAGCCCTGTTCAGCCCTTGCTGCAGAACAACTGCCTCAACGTGAGCTCCCCCAAACAGCAGCTAACACACAGAGAAACAAACATACAGCCTTTTTAATAGCATGGACATCTTAATCAAAACATCAAATAGGCACTTCTCAAATATGCTGGTAGAAAAAGAGACTGGAGACATCAACTGTGATTATTATCAGCACTGGTCCCTAAGCCTAACTGAGCCCAGCTTCTCACTTTGGAGTGGTTACACAGAATAGTCCAATGCTCCGCACCAAAAAGCAAAAGAAAACAAATTTCCAGTTCTTTTAGGCAGAAAGTAAACGTATTAGGGGATGACTCTGTGCAAATCCTCCACTTCGAGGTTCCACATATTCTTATGGATGGGGTTTTCAGAGAGATCTGTCATCTTTATTGCTCGAAGAATGGGCTCCGGACTGCAGGACCTCACCACACCCATCACCATTACATACTTCCCTAAAAAACAAGTAAGCATTAAATTTAATTAACCTTTGTATTATCATTTAAATTCATAACCCAAATTACTTAAAATCAAGTAAACAGTGCAAATTGAAGATGCTGATACTTGTAAGAAAACTCAAGGAATGAAGACTGCTTAGAACTAAATTTCAGAAAAAGGCTTCATTATCTGTACAGCCTCTTCTACAGCATATTTAACTGTATTTCCACATACAATAAGAACCAAACAAACACAAATCTGTCCTGCTGTGCGAGTGGCCTGAGGGTACGTCAGAAGGCTGAAGTTTTAAGCAATGGGCCTATTTTGTACTGCAGTTTCTGCAACACTGCAGACCAACACTTCTCCATTTGAACTGGCAGTTCTGGTGAAGGGAAGAAAAGGAAAAAAAAGCAAGACAGAAACAGAAAAGCGAAACAGGAGAAGAATTTCCTTGTTCAGGGCCTCCTGCGCGGGGCCAGGCACGGCCGCCGGGCCTGGCCGTGCGGAGGGGATGTGCCGAACCGCGCTGGAGCGGGCACGGCCAGGGACGGCGCCCGCTGCCCCGGGGGTCCCCCGGCCCCGCGGTACCTGCGCTGAGGCACGGCCGGCCCTGCGGCACCTGCTCCACGCCCAGCACGGTGAAGGCGCCGCTGCCGTCCTGCAGCCGGGCCGAGCCGCCTTCGGCGCCGCGCTGCACCTCCAGCACGGTGCCCTGCATCCACACGGCCCGCAGGGGCAGCGGCGCCCGG